CTCAGCTATGCCAAAAAACTATAGTTTTAAGAGAAGTTACATTTTTGATTTTTTTTTATTCGGTATAATGTTCCTTTTATATTTTTGTCTCTAAAAGTTAATAATATTAAAGAACTTTATTAATTAATATAAAATAAATTTTATTTTATTTCGTTTTGACACTAATTTCCCAATATTTGTTTGGGGTCACTCAAGACCCCATGCGCCTAATTGTGTGATTTTTTTGATGCGCCTAACTAAGGGTTAAGTCCTCCTTGTACATTAATGTTTGTGCAAAAGGTGAAAATCAATAAATATAAGAACAAAATAAGTTGTCGTTGACTTGACTCAGAAATAAAAATCCAAAATCTTTGATCTTTGCCCCGAAAATATTTTTTTTCAAAACAAACTATGACATGATTAGCTGTCAATAATCCCTGCAAATGAAGTTAACAATAATGTTCATTTAATTCGCCATTTTTGAGACACTAAGTAGCTATTAAAATTAGTCTGTAATATTGTTTTATTAATAAATTAATCCTTTATAACCAAAACACTCAATATATCAAATAAAAATTCAATTAAAGATATGAAAAAAAAACGGGTACATTGAACAGAAAATGCACCGCTAATTCTGTCCGCGACTACACAAAAACTTATCCAGCCAGTCTACTAAAATTGCGGAGTAGACTGTCCGGAAGCACTTCTCTCGAAGCGAGTTCTCGATATCCGCCACTTCTACTTTTTTTTTACTTAATTAATTGATTCCCCTAGCTATTGTCTGTTCTAATTGATGCATAGTTCCAGTGTCCGTGAACGATTAAATTGGATTTTTGCCGTCGATTCATGTACGGATTTGCTGTCGGAGATTGAACTTAATTATGTGATAATAAGTTTGAAAGTCAGTTCGTATTGATTGAGTTGTCTGTTTTTTAATAAAGTAGAAGATTTTGGGGTGTTTAGTAGGATACAGCATGTAGACCTATAAGTAGGCGTAATTAAAAATGTTTTCGTTGCAAGACACCTTTTGCTGAATTTTTCTTACATGATCTTGTTTAACTAACCTTGACCCATATGGTGGCGTAGATTTTCTCCTTTGTCGTTTGTCGAGTTTCAAACATATACATCACACCCAGGCCCAGTACACGGATCGCACAAAGCGTATTATTCATTACATGATAGATAAATACAATTAAAATTAAAACCTTCAAAACGAGCGTACTCCTTGTTAAAAGGCCGGCAACGCACCTGTGACTCCTCTGGTGTTGTAGATGTCCATGGACGGCGCCGATCGCTTACCATGAGGTGATCCGTCTACTCAGTTTGCCTACTATTCCATAAAAAAATATATTAATATTTGCAAAGTACCGATGTTTCATTTTATATTTAATCTAGCGAGACTAAAATACTGATTCTAAATTGCTCCATTAGTTAATGCGTGTTATACATATAAACCTTTCCCAATTAAAAAACCGCACCAAAATCTGTTGCGTATTTAAAAAAATTAAGCGTACATAGGGATATAGGGATAAAGAAAGCGACCTTTTTCTATACTATGTAGTGATATAGCAAGTGGACCTTAAAAATAAGCGTAAAATAAATAATAGGTCTTTACCTATGAAATTACCGTTCTGCAGTACTGGCCATTTCAAATCAAAAAACATGGGATTCTTTTTCCAAAAGTAGTCATTTGTTTATTGATTAGTGTTACATTTTCATCGCATTTCAAATCAGAAAATTCGTTTAAATTTTTTCATGCAAAACGGCAATTTCATAGGTAGTAGACCTATTATTTATTAAGTACCACTGGATCATTTAATATTTACATTTATCGACTAGCCGACAAACACGCTAGGTGAGCCTGTCTGTATTCTATCTTCAAAAGTCTTGACGCCAATCTACGCAATAGTTTTAAAACGCCATATATCCTCGCTACCATTTACAACTTCAGTACCACCTGCCAATCTGGTCTCAGGCCATAACTCCTGCCGTCAGCCGCAGACAGTTGTTCTAGAACTTTTCCATGCATTGTCCGTGTTCATTCACAGTCGTTGTACCTGACAATGTAGTGGATAGAATTGACGCAATTTTTTTTTAAGTTTTTACGTCTACGTAGAAATTTGAAAAAAAAATAGATTTAAGTTTTGGTACTAAGTTTTTTTTTTGGTGAAAGACCCGATTGAAATTATATACGCGTAGGTATACCGTTTTTTAGAAGCAGAAGAACTCAATGTTTGTCATATATGTCATTTATTTTAGATATAAGCGCTTATGTGCAATTTGGCTCCTAACCGTCGTTTATGAATTTTTTTTCCAAATATAAAATTTAATTTAATATTTTCGATCCATGAATGATTTTTGAATTTTGAGAAACATGATACGTATTCTGCATAAGTGTAAGCGACCAAACAAAACACTGAAATTTATCTCTTTTAATTGTCATTTAACCGTAGTAGATCGAACTTACCCGAGAATTTTAATATTCATACATTTTTGCAGGACCCATAATTATAATTTGATGCAAAAAATATGACGTCACATGATTCAAGATCCCGTATAGAACCAACCCGTAAAGAAAACATTCGATATTTAAAAAATAGAAAAAAGTATTATGTTGTCAAGTAGGCCATAACAAATAAGTTTTTGAATTTTTAAATATAATTATGGTAAAATCGAAGAAAAGTGTTTTTTTTTTTTGTTAATATGAACTAGAGAAGAATGTCTGCTCAATTATGACAGCTAGCACTGGGATTAACTTCCACATTATCATTATTTATAACAACCAACCTTAAACTTTATGAAAAAAAATTTTACATGCAAAAAAAAATTGTTTAATGTACCTAACAACCTAAAATTATCATAAACCAAAAATATTAAAATCGGCCTGTTCATTCAACAGTTGCAAACGTTTATTATATCAACGAACCATTCAATGCAGATTGTATATTAATAAAGCCTGCAGCTATTTCAAATCGAATTTAAAAGTACCACGATTGATATTCAACCAAAAAAAAAAATAAAAAAAAAAAAACAATACGAAAAGTCCGCAACAATTCGCAAAACAATTTTGTTGGAAACATTTTAAAAACCCGAATGTAATCCTTTAAAAACCCATCTTTTTCAATAAAACACAAAGAGAAAGAATAAAAAATTTAAACTATTTCAAAAAAAACGAGAAAAACTTTCAGAGAAACGAATCCGAAAATATTTAATCCCCACTTATTAAGGGTCTGAACAATTCGTTTCAAACTTCAACGAAACGCAACGCTAAACTTTTTTTTTCGAACAAATTTTATTTTACTTACCTTCCCCGCCTTATTGCTGTGTATATAAAGTCTAAATTGGCGTAGTTATTAACAAAGTTTAGTATGGATTAGTGGTTCGGAAGCAGGAAACTTTACCGAGAGGAAATAGTGTTGGGGACGTTCAAATCGACTATTCGATTTAGTCGAATAATTTATATATTGACAGTGATATATTTTATGATGTTTACGGTCGTAAATTCAATATAATTTATTTTCTAAACCTTTAAGCTTGTGAAAGGAAATAGAGGACATTCATTTGCCTTTTGTTATAGATAGATTAAACAATAATAATAGCAAGAACTCATTTAGCACATCGAAGAGGTAGTTATTAGGATATCAATTTAAGGACTATCTTAAAATTTGTGAATATCTTGTAAACAGAATAATGATAACTCTGCATTTCGCTATAAATCTCATTTTTGTTGACAATTAGACCCGCCCATGCACACCCGAAACAACAGTATAGTATAGTGGATGTCCAGTAAAAAAGGAACCAAACTCGATTGAAACTTTCGTCATCTAGTTTAATTTTGAAAACTTGAAGTCCAAAATGCAACCGTTAATAGGCACTAAGGTATCCAGACTATTTTGCTAATACGTGAATCAGCATTTAGCGTGTAGGTTTCATCGTTTCATTTTGCACGAATGTGTTTATATTCCAAACCAAACTTCTTTAATTTATTTCTGTCTGCACAAAAGCTAATAGTATCTCTCTGCACAAAAGCTAGTGTATTAACGGACTGACGGATCGGTTTTAACGTGTTTAGCCCATAAAAATAGCAAACGAAAACAATTCATTGTTCATTGAAAACAGTGGAGTGATACCACGGCCTCACAGAAAATCGGCGTGAAGCAATACTAACGCTGTGTTCGACGTGTGAGTGAGGTTACTGGAGGCCCAATTCTTCCTCCCCTTCCTATCCTTAATCCTCAAATTCCCTATCCTTAAACCCCCAATGACCCTCAAGACGTCTGCAACGCACGCAAAAATCTATTATAAACAACACACGCAAACATTTTTGAAAGAAGGTAAATTACCTATTCGATTATCCTATTTAGTCGATTAAAAAGCATCGATTAACTCGACTAATGAGTCGCATCACTAGCCGCAACCACAGGCAACGGAAAGTTTCCAGTGCATCGGGAGTTAGTTCACTAGTGGGTACTTTTGAACTAAACCGTTTGGAAATTGCTGGATTCCAGTTTTTAGTTTTACCCCTTTTTTAACGTTTATTTTTTTAACTGGTAAGTCGGTTAGCGTTTTATGTTGTTGAGTTCGGAACTACAAGGTTCGTAAAGCTTTTTTTTGTCCTTAATGCAGAAGTTGAGGACTATAAGTAGAAATTCAGTAGATGATTATTGGAAAAAATTCATTCGTGTATTGGCTTGGCTTTAGCAATATTATTTTGTTTATTTTAAATTAGTTTTTAACTTTGATAATCCACTTCTACTTCTCTTCCTTGAACGACCTCTAAGGGCTGCTAAAATGGCGGTATCTGAAGGCCCGCTAGCTAATCATAATGTGCCAAGGAGACTTTGGTCACGGCCATTTGTAAGGGAGAAATTTGATGAACAGTAAGAGAACATCTCCTAGTCGTTACCAAGAGATAGAGAAGACGATAAGCACTATATTTTGTATACCTACGCGATTGTTATATCCATATTCGTGGAATGAAATAAAAACTTTAATTGTTGGAGAGCCAAGCTTCGGCATGAATGGGTCGGCTCGACCGGAGTGATACCACGGCCCCACAGAAAACCGGCGTGAAACAACCAGTGTTGTGTTTCGCCGTGTGAGTGAGGTTACCGGAGGCGCAATCCCACCCTCATCCACATCCCTTCCTAATCCTTAATAAATATCCGAAACCTGTATCCCTAAAAGGCCGGCAACGCACTCGTAACTCTCTTGTGCGTCCATGGGTGGCGCTGATTGCTTACCATTAGGTAATCCATATGTTCGTTTGCCGACATATACCATAAAATAATCATACGTAATATGTATAATCTGTAATCAGTCTTGTCTCTTGTCCATCTTTTATTAATAAGAATTTGCCCAAATACTATATTAAGATTGTTTCTTTAATAAAATAATACATTTTATAAACTGTCTTTCACAGATTTTGACAGCTCTTTCCATCGTCTGAATCGATTGACAGATATCCAATCAATGGCAAACGCTTCAGAGTAGAATCTCGACTGAAAGACCGTTATGAAGTTAGTTCCAATTTAAGCCACCGTCCGATTGAGCGCTAGTGTCTTTGAAGTATGATTTGACATTAATTTGATGCAAATTCGATACGATCTTCGAATTGAACGTTGAAAAATAGGTGATGTTAAATAATAATGTTTGATGTCGTGACGTCACTCCTTATATTTCTGAAGAAGTGCAATTAGCAGTCACATGGTTTGTATAACTTTGGATAGCTTTGAAACCCGAAAAATTTGGATAGGTTAGGTTAAACTTTTAATCTCATTCGGGTAGCGGGTGTTAAGTGTATAATAGACCGAAATTATTATAATAATTAAATACGGGGGTGAGAGGGATCGCCCCAACTATGGCTTGAGAAAAGATTAGGTGACTTTCACACCTCCAAAAAATTATCGGTTTCTGATGGACTCAACTCTTTGCTATTAATAACTGTGAATCCGATTTCGCCGAACCTGACAGAATCTAGTTTGAGACTTCTTGCTTGACAATGACACTTGGGCTCCATTGAAAATCAATCTTTTTATCCACCAATGGAACTCGATTTTTCCCAATGAACTTCCAAACTCCCATCTATGCAGATAGCCTTTTACTTTAGCTTTCCCTGGTGTAAAATAATGCTTTAAACTTTTGTCAACTTGATCGACTTCTGCAAATACTCGTACGGTTACCCAGGAGAGCCGTGAAAGTGATTCAAAGCACATTTAGAAAGTTCTCGAAGAATATCCATCGTTAGCCTTGAAGTTCTTGGCTAGATGCTAAGAGTTAGGAGCATAGATTTGCTAGAGAAGCGGGTATTGTTCTTTGAAGTAGATGAAAAGCAGTAGAAAATAGTCAACTTTTCCCAGGAACAGGAGTCCCAGTTCAAACAGCCAGAAGTCATTTTTGGAATACTTCTATATCCAATCCGTTGCTGGTTGGCAGAAAATTGTGACCTGGAGATTAAGGCGCCCGCTTTTCCATAGTTCGAGTTCGAAACTTAGCAAACACCAATCCGATATTTTCCAAGTTACTTGTACATTCATTCAAGGATTGGGCGCGGAAAGTATTGCACGGAAGAGTCGAAGCACGGTAGGGACGTGCTCTGCAGTGGGACGACAACGGCTGCTAATGATAAGTACATACAGGGATATCCGCCGGTTTCTGTCCCACTTCATTTGATTAAAGTTGACTATAGAGTCTCTGCGCAGTTGGCTCCAGCCCCTTGAACGTCTTAAATGACCGGGACTCTGTGGTGCCGTGATTGCTTCTGGTATACATAATAATACTATGTACATTGTATGATTATTTAGACACCAATGACATTCGGGAAAGGAAAACATCTTGGGGAAACCTGGACTGATAATATTTTAACGTTTGAAATCGCCTATCCGCCTCGAGCGAGCGTGGTGATTAATGCTCAAACCTTTCTCCGTGTGAGAACAGACCTATGCTCAGCAGTGGGCACTTACAGATTGAAGATGATGTGTCAGATTATAGAATTTTTTGTTGCGTACATATATGATTTATATCCAATAAAGGTAGACGTTTTTTAAAATCAAATTATTCTGTTTCAATAATATGGCCATCCAACGAGATTACACGCGATTTCCCCGGTTCTATCAGTCATCAAGCTTAGTGTTAAATTTTGACAATTCATGTTACATGTTATAGCATGTTCGTGTGTATACACTAACCAACTTAATTTATTTCTACAGGTATTCAAGAGCGCTTAAATGAAAGAAAGAATACACACATATCAAAGTAAGTATTGTTTTGCTTTATAATTCGAGAATTACAAAACGTGTTCCAGATACGTGTTAGATTTAGAAAATATTTTATGAATTGATGATTGTTATGGTGACATACAATGAAGCACGCCTACCTTCAAGCAAAAATATACAATTAACTTTGCATATTTATTTATATGATATTATGATGTGCACTTTTGCCAATCGTTTTGGAAAATGATTCTTACATAGTCTTTGTAGTCACAGGCAGCTCAAATCAGTCAAAGCCAAAGACATTTCATCAAACCATTTATTTCAATTAATAAGACCATTATTAATTCACCCCTCCCCCTTCTTTCCCTGTTTTTTTATGTAATAGGTTGGCAAACCAGGTGACGGATTACCTGATGGTAAGCAATCACGCCGCCCATGGACACCTGCAACGGAGGAGTTACGAGTGCGTTGCCGCCCTTTTAAGGATTAGGGTTTTGGAGATTTAAGGATTGGGCCTCCGGTAACTTCACAATACGGCAATTCTGAAATTTTTGGAATCCTTATCACAAATGGGCCACCTACGCGCTCGTGATCCCGCTGGTGTTAATTGGTGTCCATAGCGACGCCGATTGCTTACCATCAGGTAATCGTTCCGCTCACATGTGAACCTATCACATAAAGAAAAAGAAGGATAAAAAATAGATTGTTGCATAACATACCAATCTACTTTTCGCTCAGTTGTAACACAAACTCTGCGAATTTACTTCTAGTTATTCACAAAGCACACTCATCTAAATTTTGCATCATATTAGCTATGAACCAGTTTTGCAACTGTTTTTCTAGGTAGACGTGATACTTTTGAGTTATGAACGCTCGGAGTGAATGTGGCGTTGTTTTTGTATGAATGAAGGATGGAAACTGTGTTTTTAAAGTTATTATTCTAGTGTATCACTTAGGTATCTTTATTTTGGTGTTTTGGTGGACTGGAGGTTCCTGTGCTTTAGTCCAATCTTAAGTGTAAAGGTGTAAATTCGGAACTTAAAAAAAAAAAGAAAAAGGGAAATGAATTCTTTCATATAACGAATAAAAAGACTTGAGAAATCTGAAAATGGAAATCTGGACTTATAATTAGGAAAGATGAAATGGCCAATCTGCCTTGAATAAATTTTGACATGAATGTCGAAGTTTGTTCAAGGTTAAGCCTTGAACAAACTTCGACATTCTCCGTGTGAGAAGAGGCTTTTGCCCGATAGTGGGCACTTATGAACTGATGATCATGATAATATTGATAATAGTATAACATTAAGAAAAAAAATATAATAGTTTTAAGAAAGCCATAAATGATCTGTAGATCGAGTGGTCAAATTGGCAAGAGGTATTAATCTCGGCTGATTGATAAAGAATAAAAATAAAAGGATTTCCAGTTTTTCAATACTTTTCTGGAGTTTCTATGGGTTCGGTAAATAGCTTTACGCCAGCCTACATGAAACTCAATGTAACCAATAAATAAAAGTACGTATTACAGCGTATATTTTAAACATATAAAGTATTTAGTTTTATTCACGAATTAAAATGTAACATTATATTATTAAAATTGTTAAAAAGTATCTAAAAACATCCGACCAATTTTCATCCAACAAATTGATCGACCGAAAAGTAGTTGGTCTGCATCCATTATTAGAAATGTTAGTTCCGCAACTCAGTTGAAGTCGGCATTACTATGCATTGGCACGGCTCGCCATATCGATATGCTTGTAACATTGGAGTGCATACTGCATATAATACTTTATTATATTGGATCTATTTTGCCTTCATTTTAGCCTTTGTTTATAATTTTATTGGCAGAGTTGAGTCAACTGAGAATTTCGTTTGGGTATTTTTTCTTCGAAAACTTTTCTGCCTCAGCCTGAGTTGCCGTCTGTTCTCCAAGAAACATACCCTATATAATTATATATCAGCTTGCTTTTTCGCTGGTTGGTTGCATGCAGGCTTTCTACCAGCCTATCTGGAAATCATTGTAGGAGATCTATGTTCAACAGTATACATACGTTATGCTTCTGATAATATCCCTGTGAGATCGTTAAAGCATATTTATAAAAAGTTAGTGTCAGTCTGTAGGCCAGTCTTCTTTTCCTATTATACTTAATATCATGTTTGGTTGGAACATTTTTCTAATTATATTTTATTCTAATTCAAATAAAACCTACCAATTCTTATCTCTTTATTGTCAGAAATGTACTTATGTGGCTCCGTAGGATTTTATTCCCGTTGAATTTAGAGCTGATTTCACCGACGATACGTACTCGTAATCGAGTGTCAGGCAAACTTGAGGTACGCCTGACAGTCCATTTATTCTGTCCCCGACATGTTTTTAAACAGTTGATTGATCAATTCGAATAGGTTATCATGTATTGATTTGTCTTTTCTAATTGTCATATTATTGTAGTTGCCTGGAGAATAAGGGTTCTCATGCATAAAAGTGCAAGCTCAAAAGCCGGCAAGAAGCGATGTGACTCTTTTCTAGTTATTTTATATCATGACACGACCAGATACCGGTAACAACTGATAAAGGAAATTATATTGAAGAATTTTTAATTATAAGTTTCAAATTGCCATTCTGCCTTAGAAGATGCTTACGGTATAGGCTAATGTTGAATTGTCATTTTAATACGAATTTTGTCTTGAATATTGTCCTGCTACACTTTTGGTCTAAATTTTATTGTAATCTCATTCTTCCAAAAATAATAAATGATCAATTACCCTTTTTGTGGAGAAAAGTTATCATATAACTTCTACTGCGAACCCGGGCCGGGCATCATTGCGCTTCCACCCGCAGCCCTGGCTTGGGCAAATACATTGGGTACCTTTTAGTCGGCTATTACTACACCCTCAAGTAGAAGATAGGTGACGAATGGTTGAGAAAAAGTGTGGAAGAGCCATACTTCGGCACGAGTGGTCGGCTCGACCTGAGTTATACCACGGCCTCACAGAGAACTGGCTTGAAACAACCACAGAGTTGCGTTTCGCCATGTAAGTGGGGTTGCTGGAAGCCCAATACTTCCCTTCCCCCAATCTCTCCCCGATCCCTAAATGTCCAAATTCCCAATTCCCAAAAGGTCGGCAACGCACTCGCAACTCCGTTTACCTCCTGTTACCATCCAGGTCATCCATCTGCATCTTTAGCGCCCCATCATATAAAAAAGTGACTCTAAGATCAACCAAAACACCTACAATATTTGATTTTAATTGAACTAAAATTTCTCACCATACGGCTTCAAACAACCAAACGTTTTATACCAAATGCACCCCGGAAAACACCTGAAAATTCCTCGACTAACCATACAAAATCCAATTTCCCAAAAATCAACGATAAACTAAATAAACCCTAACAAAGTATAATTACTAACAGGCGCAGTTTAACAGCAGTTAAGTTAACTATGCATAAATTAAACTTAGATTAATGAAATTACCGTACATGGTCGTTCGTGCTGTTGCATAATTCGCCCTCAATTTGAATTTATAGTCAGGGCTCGGTAACATATTGTTTTGTTTAGTATTCCTGGAACTAGTTCATTACTAAGACTTGTATCGTTGTGGTGTAAGCAGAAATGGCTTATATAATGACTGATGACTGCACGGTTGGCGCGGTGGCTGGGCAACTGGCTGGCGCGCAACGTGTCGCGGGTTCGATTCCCGCACGGAACAACTCTTTGTGTGATCCACAGATAGTTGTTGATATTGTATGTTTGTAAACGCACCCACGACACAGGAGAAAATCCTAGTGTGGGGCAACGTTTTTTTTTAAAAAAAAAATATGTCTATGTATACGTTTATTACAATACGTATATACATTTATGAATAACCAATAATTACTTAATAACCCTCATCATCATCATCATTATCAGTATCATCATCATTATCATCATTATCATCATCATCATCATCATCATTATTATTATCGTCATCAGGCCAAAAGAGGCTACAACAGAAGGCCTATAGAGATAATAAAAGCTTTTACAGATGTAAAAGACAGGTTTATTACAATGTTTGCGAGTGAATCTCAGTTATCAAGTTATTTGTTTTCTAATATAAAACCATAAACGATATAATATACATTACCATATTTTTTTAACCACTAATTGACAGACATTCTGATTTTAAATTTTCGTACGCTTTTACTTCAATTGTAGGTTCCATGATTTAGGGACAGTTATGACTTTGAACTCGTGTGTTTAAAATGAGAATTTTAAGAAACTTAATTATTCTGTTTCACTTTTACACAATTACTAGGAATTAGTTAAGCTGCACTAATGATTTGAATATATTATTATAATAGTCCTGTACTAAGAATCAAACGAGTTAGAAGAATACATAAAAAGAATTAATAAAAATATTACTATTTTTCTTTTCAGACAAAGTAAGGCGGATCAAAGAATATCTGAGAGCTACGGTGACGAACGTGAGTTATAAAATAGAATTAAAGAAGAAAAATAGAATGGATGCATTAAAAGTTTTAATAATAATAATTTATATATTTTTTTGTTTTACGTCTGGTGTTCCATTAGTTAGACACGTTCTATTTTCAATAATCGTTATTTTTCTTTTGCAACGTTTTCCTTATTTGAAAATTAGAAGCAACAGCAATATTGTTCAGTAAAATAAGTCAAGATGATGAAATATTTATTCCAGATGTACATTTTGTAAGGACAAAGAGGGACCTTGGATCTGGCAATGTCATCATCACTCAACATTTTAGCGATAAGGTTTTAAGCCCTGGTGATGAGGTAAGAAGCAAGAATTTAAATCCTGTAACGTGCTTGCTAGATCATTTAAATTCCCAAAAGTCGCACCTTGTGGATTTAGGCTATTATACCTAAGAACAATACGGTAGTTTCCAACTAGTCAGATTCGATTCTTTTATCCAAATGCCAAAAACTATACTTTTCTATGAAAGTTGTATTCAACACTGAGTTATGACGTCACAGTATTTTTGAGTCAAATAGCTTACTTATTTCTTAAAAAATATTGAAAATTTAGTATACCGATCGAACGATGTATAAAAAGTATAACTAGTTATTTTTCAATATTTTATTGTATTGAAACGTCGGGTTCATTTATTTTTGACCTAGGAAACTACCCAATTGAATGCATTTGGATTAAAAGTTACAATACAAGTCACCGCTCTTCACAATCCTTCAAAAGATTGGATCAAAATGTCCGGTTTCTGACCCTCTAATAACTTTTTAATTAAAAACAAATTGTTGCGAACTGATTAAATTTAGAGGGAAAATGTTTTTTGTATGCAATAGGTCGGCAAATAAGCAGACGGATTACCTAATGGTAAGCAATCAGCGCCGCCCATGGACACCCGCAACAGATTACGAGTGCGTTGCCGACCTTTTGGTGATTAGGAATTTGGAGATTTAGGAATTGGGGAGGGATTAGGGAAGGGCAAGGATTGTTTCACGCCGGTTTTCTGTGGGGCCGTGTGGTATCACTCCGGTCGAGCCGACCCATTCGTGATGAAGCATGACCCACACTTAAATGTCAGCAAGTTTTACAAATGTTAAAGGCAAGAAAAACTAATGAAGCTGTAAAAACAATTGATATTTACAGATAAGTCTCCAATGTACCGCTACTGCCGACAAGCCTTCAAGATTTATTTGGGAGAGGGATGGAGTTGTTATATCTCCGAATACTGATCAAAGGTAAGCGAAATGTTAATAACTTTCGTGTATTTCATTCTAGTGAACACCATTTTACCTTCACCTCTCCACGAACCACATGTCAAACTATTGGTCTTGCTTACATGTCCATCCTTATCCATTGACTTTTTTTTTTTTTTTTTTTTTTTTGTCGGGTTGGAAAATCCTCATGGAGACCCACCACCCTCGGGGAAAGGGCGAAGGGTACTGTCAGACTCATACTGACTAAAAACCAACCCGGTGTTCCTCCACTTACCCATGTGTCGGAGGGGCGGGTATCGCCGAAGCATTCGTCGCATCCCCCCGACGGGTATTGGCCCGCCAGATGGTTAGGCGGGCCCCGTCACCCCGACCGCAGGACTCCATTATGAGGCGCGCGCGGAACACGGCGCCGCCGCCTCGAGGCCTGCTGCTGGTCGGACGACAAGACGCCCCGAGTCTGTCGTCCGCAGGCCGCACCCTACGGTGGGCGCAGGTCGGCCACCCTACGACGTCTAGTGCGTCTGCTGCGGGAGGGGAGAGAGGAGGCAGCCTCTCTCTCCCTTTCCGCCGCCTCCTTTGCGAGCATCACGGCTTCGCAGAAGGTAGCGACGGCACTCCACCCTGACTCGCTCCCGACCATAGCAGACACTACAGCCGGAAGCGAGAGATTTCCCGCAGCACCTACGGCCGCGACCACGTCCCGGCGCTGCTCGGCCCAAGCTGGGCACTCCACCAAGGTATGCAGCGCCGTATCATCGCGGCAATCACCACAATGGTGGCACTGAGACGTCGGCTCCCGACCTATGCGACACAGGTACTTCCCAAAACACCCGTGTCCAGTAAGCACCTGCGTCAGCCGGAAACTGAGGGCGCCGTGGCTCCTATTGAGCCACTCCTCTAGAAAGGGCCTTACAGCCGCTATAGCGGCGTGCCCCGCCGTGGGTTGCGCTAAACGCGTCTGCCACTCCGCCACTAAGGCCTGACGGAGTTCTGCCCTGCGTGCCTCAACCTGTCGAGGCACCAGGCGTTCGCCTCGCTCGACTGCTTCCACGCGCCACCAATAGAGCGACGCGAGGAGTTTTGCGTCGAGGTCCCAGGGCGGGGATCCGGCTAGGAGGCTCGCTGCCTCAAAGGAGATCGTACGGTATCCCCTTATTATCCTGACGGCCATCGCGCGCTGTGGCCTTCGCAGCGCGGCGATGTTACGGGCCGTCAGGGCGTCCGTCCATACTGGCGCGGCGTATAACGCCATCGACCGTACGACCCCCATGTAGAGCCTCCGGCAGGAGGAGATGGGCCCCCCCTGGTTGGGCAGCAAGCGCGACAGCGCAGCAGCGGCGCTCATCAACCGGGGGGCGAGCCGTGTAAAGTGCGGCCCGAAATTCCACCGACTGTCGAGAACGAGTCCGAGGTACTTCATCGTGGACTCAACAGCAATGGAAACCCCTCCTACTATGATGCTGGATCTTTGAGGCGGCTTCATCCTTGGCCCATGAAAACACAGGGCCTCCGATTTGTGCAATGCCACCTCTAAGCCCAGCCGCCGGATCCTACCCACGACGTGCGCGACACCAGCAGTCGCGCGTATGGCCGCCTGCCGGTACGACTTTCCACGCGCTGTAACTAGCGTATCGTCGGCGTAACAAATGACGCTGACGCCGTGGAGTAGAGCACCGCGCAGAGCCCAGTCGTAGCCAACGTTCCACAAGAGCGGACCCAACACCGATCCCTGCGGAACGCCGCACGACGTCTCTCGCCGACCCCATCCTTCTCGACCCGGGTACACCACTGACCTGTCCGACAAATAGGCCCCGACAATGCGTTGGAGGTAGCGCGGCACCCCGTGATATCGGAGCGCCTCTCGGATGGTACTCCAGGGCAAGGTGTTGAAAGCGTTGGCGATGTCGAGCGACACCGCCAAGACCACCTCACCCCGGGCGACTGCCTCCTCCGCCAGGACCTTTACGCGCATGATCGCGTCCACCGTGGAGCGCCCCTGGCGGAAACCATATTGGTTGTTCGCCAAATCCGGCCCCACCCTGGTCATGTGCTGGACGAGGCGGCCGGCGATGATTCGCTCGAAGATCTTACACACCTCGTCCAGCAACACGATCGGCCTGTACGCAGACGGGGAGTCTGCGGGGCGCCCCGCCTTCTTGAGCAGGACCAGCTTTCCGGTCTTCCACCGGCTTGGAAACTGGCCCCGCTCCAAACATGCGCTTAAAAGCCCTGCTAGTCGGGGCCAGAGAGCTCTCATAGCCAGGACCCATGCACGGCTTGGAATACCGTCGGGCCCTGGGGCGGTGTTCTTGATGCGAGCCACCGCCACTCTCAACTCTACCCGGGTCACTTCGGGCACGTTTTCGTCAGTCTCATCCGCGTTGGGCGAATTACGAGGCGGAACCATAGCTGGTGGTGTGTGCTCCGGTCTCGACGGAAACAACGCACACACCACCTCCTCCAGCAGCTGTGGCTGGAGACTCCGGCATAATGGGGGGGCCCATTGGCGCAATTTGCCCCGTACCATGAGGTAGGGGCGTCCCCACGGATCTCGGTCCAGAGTCCTCAACAGCTCTACGTTGGCCTGGGCCTTTGCCCGGACAATGGCCAGCTGGAGGGCGCTTTTCGCCTCTCTGTAGCGGTTGTATAGTTCCGCCTCTTCCTGTTCGGCCGCAGCTGTAAAGGGGCGGCGGCGTCTTCTTCGGTACCTTGCGTACTGGCGTCGCACCTGTACACAAGCGGTGCGCAATTGCGCAATCGAGTGCGACCACCAGTACACTTGGCGCCTGGATGGTAGCGGCCGGACTCGGGGCATGCCAGCGTCGCAGATGTGCGACATGTTCTCCCGGAACCACTCCGCCTCCTCGTCGATGTTGGTTGGCCTGTCTGGAGAGTCCAACCAGGCCTTGACGATAGAGGCCTCCAGGAGAGCCTCTCTGTCCAACCGCTTTAACGCCCAACGCGGACCATCTCCAACGCCCATCGGGGTCGCTTGGACCGGCCCAACCGAGGTCTGGGCAGAGACGCTGAATCGAATATATCGATGGTCAGACAGCGTCTCTACCTCCTCCAAGACGTGCCAGTCCTGGACAGTGCGTGCGAGAGTGGGGCTAGCAAAGGACAGGTCCACTATAGACCCACCTCGCTGCCGCACGCACGTCTGCACGGAACCCCGGTTGAGGTGAAGCAGGCCCTGCTCGACCGCCCACTCCTCCACTAACTCGCCCCGTGCATTCGTAGCCGGGGAACCCCAAGCCGTAGATTTGGCATTGAAGTCCCCAAGGACTATCACGGGACGAGGGTGACTACGACTGACAATCGTGCCCAACTCCAATATCAAACCCTCCATGTCAGCGAGAGAAAGGCTGGGGGGGAAATACACCCCCGCGACCATGATATTTCCCCAAACTGCCGCGACATAGCCCCGCCCTCGGGTGACGGCCTCGAAGGGAAGGGTGTCGGCAGCAGACCTCAAAATAAGTACTACCGAGCGGTTCGTGTCGCACACCCAGTCATCCCTGGGTGGCACAAAATACGGCTCGGAGACAACTGCCACATCGATCGACCACTGCGCCATGCTCTGAAGCAAGAGATCCTGAGCTCTGGCGCAGTGGTTTATGTTAGCTTGAAGGAGACGACGTAGGGCCATTATTAGGTTTCCATGGTCATGACCTCCTCCCCAGCCCTCGGCGGATGTTTTGAAGTAGCTGGCGGGTGAACCGGCTGCGAAGAGCTGGTTGCCTGCTGTGTCAAAGTCGGTATACTAGCCGGCGGATGAACCGGCTGTCTCCTGGCATTGTTCTTCTTTGGTCTGGCACAGGCCTTTGACCCGGTCGAATGGTCGGCTGGCTTGCCAGATGCCGCACAGATGACGCAGTGCGGCTTGGCAATGCAAATGCTAGCTTTGTGACCGAGTTGACCGCAGCGGAAGCATATTTGGCTGCGGTCTACTCCCGCGGTGCACCGTGCCCCCGCGTGTCCTTCTTCCAAACAGCGGTAGCATCGATAGGGCTTGGGAGCTAAGAACGCGACCTGCGCCGAGACCCATCCAACCAAGAGCCGCTTATTTTCAATCTTTTTGGCCGCCGCTACGGGACAGCTGACGAGAATTGTCCCAAGACCGGAGACACCCCGACGTATCATGCCCGCCTTGACTTGTTCCGGCGGGCATCCTCCGGCCCTGGAGATGGCAGCGGCGACCTCCTCCTGCGTAACGGAATCGTCCAAGCCTGAGATGCGCAGATCTGCACATTTGGTTGGCCTAGACACTCTCACTCCTCGGAACCTAGAGACGCCTTAAGTCTATCGGCAAGGGCGTCTGCCTTGGGCCCACTCGTGGCTCCCGAAATCTCTAGTAAGCGACCGCCGGCCGCAGTAGTCTTACACCGCAGGCCCGTTATGCCGAGATCACTAAGTGAGATCTCTGCTTTCGCCTTTGCCAGGATCCCAGCGTACGTAAGGCCCCGCTCCTCCGCCCCTGGCTGCAGGGTTAGAGTCACTGCTGTAGAGCGGGGTGTACTTAGCCTTGCGGTCTTGTGCTTGGTAGCCGCTTCTACCTTCTGGGCCTGCTTTTTGGCCCGCTGGCGTGCCCTTTTTGATTTTTTGGCAGCGCCCGCAACCTTCCATTCCGACTCAGGTCTGGTACCATTCTCGCGTGTTACTGGGCGGACGGTGGCACCTGTTTTTTCCGCCAGTTTGGCTTCTTTTCCTGACTGCCTATCTGATTTTGGCCTCGCAGTTTTCATTTGCGAGGCGGCAGTTGAGGTATTCCTTTTCTGTGTGGCACCCGCTGCTGGTGCCGATTGGGCGGCACGAGGCGTTGCAGCTTGGGCTGCATATGTCGGTGCCGAAGTGCGGCCCTGGTCTGCAGCTAGGGGTGGACGCAGGATCTTCCCCTCCAGCACCGAGAAGCGCGCGTTAAAACTTGCCATCTCCTTACGGATCAGGCGAGTCAACTCAGTCTCCTGTGACGGCGACTGCGGTTGCGGTTGCTGCGTCGGGAGCGCAAGGCCCACTTCTTGCCTGAGGTGCTCTCGGCGGAAGTTTACCATCTCGGCCTTGAGCTCCTCATGCTCCTTGCGGAGCTCCGCCATTTGTGCTGCGAGCTTTTTGTTCTGGGCCCGCAGCAGGGCCGTCTCTTCCGTAACGGTGCGTGTTAAAAGTACTTGAGTACTTTCCAGAATGGAGGCCGTGGCCTCTTTAAGTGCCTTCTTGCTGCAGCCGCTAAGGCCCTTCGAGACTTTGCTCACCTGTCTGATTGCTGCAACCGCGTCAACCAGCCTTTGGTTTAGGTCGGAGGCAGGAAGATCTTCTGCCTCGACTCCTACATCCGAGACGACAGTTGAGGACTCCGACAGGCGAGTGACTCTCCCTTCCGTCACTCTTTTCGTCAGAGCCGCTATTTGCCGCTCATCCTCCTCTAATTTATCGGCGAGTGCTGCTGCTTTCGCTGCAGCCGCAGCCTCACGCCTGGATAGGCCGACACCAACATATTTGCCGGTGGTGGCGGGCCTACCTCTTCCTCCTTTTTTAGCACCGACCTTAGGAGCCGGCATCGCTGTATCGCTCAGGGCCGATTCCGACCCTGAGTCTGCACCTTCTCTTGGGCGTTTGCGTAAGCGTTTTAAATTACCGCTCACCGCGCTCATCACACTCATACTCGACGCACTATCTGAGTCCGACAGAACTCCTTTCCGCTCAATTAGTACCATTGGTACTGTTTCACCTACCTCGTCATTTTTTGTTTTTATTTTATTTGTTAGGGTCTCCATATTGTTCCCACGAGTACAAAGCAAGTAATGGTCAACCCCGGGCAGAGGCTTAGGTACCCGGGTAAGCCTACATACTGCTGGGGGCGACAGGTACCAGCAGGTGGGAGCGCTAACGACCGTACACCCAACGGCCATTCATCCCCTCGCCGCGCTCCCGAAACTTGGGATTGGGTGGTTTTTTATCTTAGAGGTGTCCTTCCTCTAGGGCCGGGCGGCAAAGCCAAGCCCCCCGACGGCGGCATTGAGACATGCCTCCGTCCGCTGTCCGGCCAACCCGACTCAGCGGACCCGCCGAAAGGTTTGCTCCTCAATGAATGAGGATAACAAACGAACCCCGCATTGACGCGCCTGCGTCAAAGCGGGTGTGGCCGCGTCCTCGCCTAATCAACTACGTCGACGGGGCAGGAGCGACCCCTCCTGCAGAAGTTAGCTCCGGACAATAATGCTCCTCTACGCTGGCTTACGCGAAGAGATTATTGTCCGTACCCAGGGTGCACCGGTCCAACGACTGCTCTTCCCCCCGGACGTATCCGCAAGGGACCAGCAGCCGCGGAACGCACGGGGAGGTCTTCTGCTCGCACCCCATCCTTATCCATTGACTGTGTATACTACTACTGTGACTTATTTATTTATCTTCTACACAATTCTTAGTTATATTGAAGTTTTACTGTCAATAATATTTATAATAAAATTGACAAGAATATAATATAAAAACTAGCTACTCTCGCGCGGTTTCACTCGACTCAATTGATCGTAGCGTGATGTTTTAGAGCCTATATCACTCAGGAATATTGTAGCTATCTATCAGTGAAAGAATTTAGGAAATCCGACCAGCGGTTTCTAAGATTACCCCCTACATACAAACATACCAACTTACAAACTAACAAATTTTACCTCTTTATAATATTAGTATAGATGTTAAGACCAATACAGTTTTTTAATACTGAACCTTAAACTTTTTACAAATTCAAACGAAAATACTCAGGCCCAAATCAATTTCATTTGTAGTTCGTTCGTTTTTCCTGAACAAATAAGTAATTAAGCCGCGACAGGACGGTTTTGTTAAAAAAATGAATGGTTGTTAGGAAAAGTTCATTTTTAAATAACGAATACGCAGACCTAGAAAATTCGAATTGTAAATGGAAGTAACGTTTGAAATAAAAATATTCAGCCAGCTTCAAATTTGTATTAAGAACATCAGAATTAATATTTGTTTTATGACCGTTATTATTTAAAATATTCATAAAAACATCAGTGAATTTAGAATATGCTATGTTTTAATTATATTATATGACGGTGGCAAAATTATTCTTAAATTTCTCTGAGCTGGTTTAAAGAAAAGCTATAAAAAATCTAAAATCAATTAACGAAACATAGGTAGCTTTTAGTGAACATAATTTTGAAGCGATCTTAAAAAGTTTCTTAGAGGCAATCCGTTTTCAGTTTACGGGTAGCAATGGAGCTGGAAGAATACATATATAATCGATTAAATTAACTACAAAACCACTTTTATAAATATTGGATGTGCTATATTTTTAAATAGATAGAGAGATTGAAGACGAACGTTTATCTCTATAGTAGAATTTTTTAATAGGAAGACTTGGTCTTAGTCTGGCTTAACATTTTCCAGGTATACACTTGGTCAGATGATGTCACCGACAGGAGTTGGTGTGGTGTCACAGCTGAACATCACAAGGGCAAGGGTAGAAGATGGAGGCTTATATTCTTGCTTAGCTTTTGAAGGAGAATCCAGTACGGGTCATTCGTCAAGAATCGATGTTTTTGGTAAGTTCTTAATTTTATTTTATAATAAAGATGATGGTAAAAGTAGATGATGGTAAGATAAAGTAAAGTTCCAAATGAGAAAGAAAGTAAAATAATCTATTTCGCACGTGACATATCGCACAAAGCTATAAAGATTTGTAAAAAATGAGAATGACAAATACAACACAGTAAGAATAAACAAATGCAAAAAGTCAAAGTCAAAGTCAAAATCATTTATTTCAATTAGACCACAGTAGTCACTTTTGAATGTCAAGCAAAAAGGGAAAAAGTATTTCAATAGCTTTAAAATTAAGCGTGTCAGTCTCTCCGTCTGTCCTCTAGTGAAGTTGTTTGCTCGTTCCAAAGTGTAGATTCCTATGGAGAAGAACGTGCAAGAAACTCCATGGTTACTCTTTTTCAATCAGTTTTAAAATACATTTCTTTGTTACATCATTTAGTCGGTTCTGATATGAGAGAACAGTGTAACACTAATGTTTAAGCAAAAAATACGAAAAAGAAGTTAAAAAACATTAAGTTAGAAGCTACAATAAAAAAAAATGTAGCATGCCCAAAGGGTTGCCATCTTAGTATAAGTTGAGCTCTGTGACAACCCAACACTTCAGAATTACGCCAATAAGTAATGATAATTTAGAAAAAAAAATCCATATTAACTATGACAAAATATTTTAGGTCCTCCTTATATAAGGACTTTACCACCAATTAAAGTTCAGAGTGGAGAACCACTGAAGCTCAGGTGTCCATACTATGGATATCCTATCAGGTAAGAGAATAAAGACTATTTAAATAAAGTATTTAGTTTATTCCAGTAGACGTACAAATTAAATCTGAGAATCAAATCAAAATACATTCTGAAACAATGAAACAATGAATTTATTTTTGCAAATAGGCCATAAAACGACATTTTTACACGTCAATTTATATGTAAAAAACTGAAGCCGGCATTTCCTATCTGACTACTCTGAGAAGAAATGCTCAAACAAACTCAGAGGTCAGTCTCTTTTCAAGTCCAGACAATGTAAAAATAACATAATGTGAGAGAACCGTGCAAGTTAATTCTGTAGTGGTCTTTTGAGGAAAGAACCACACCAGTTTAAGTGGACCCGTTCTGAAGACAGGCACGCAAGTGTCAGTTTGCAACCAGTATAGCTAGTGCTGCTGAGTTGTCCAACGAACAATACCGATCAAAAGAACATTTGGGTGGGTCGCGCAAGTACTCAAACTGTCAGAACGCAGATGACTGGTAATCAAAAAGCATGGCAAGTCTCACACGGTCATTCTGATTTGCGAATCTGTTCGTCAGTAAAAAAACAAAACAGCCAATTTAAAGCTTTTAGTGTTAATTGTATACCTAATAGAAATACCTGAAACAAATATGAAGAACATCAAATTATTTTCAATTCACAGCAAACTAGAATGGGAACATAAAGGAAAGAAGATTATCAGCTCAACTCTTCCACAACACTCTAGATATAAAAGGACATACTTAACTACTTCTAACAACAGTAAAAATACCAGAAGAAAACGGAGAAAAAGACAGCTCTTTGAGACAGGAGCTGATGGCGTTCTGAACATACCAAGAGTAGTGAAAGAAGAAAACGGGGACACGTATACATGTATTGTTTACAGCCCATCAGGAGAAATGGCTAGAAGGTATGAATTTATTTAATTGTAAATACTTTATTGCACACCTTATTACAAATACACCTAAAAGAAAAACAGGGTTATACATAGCTACTTATATAGATAGTACAACAGGCGGTCTTTTTACACAGGGTGGTTTCTTCCAGACAACCTTTGGATGGAAATTTAAAAGAAACTTGAGGATGTGACAATGGGCGTACAATTAATTAATCATAATGACAAATACTCATAAAATATAATACATAACTCATAACTACATAAATTTTACACAATTGTTAAATGTTTTTGTAACCCTAAGTGCCTGATTGTCAGGAATAACATTGGCGAATTTCAAAATTTGTATTAAAAATTAAACTGTAGATTTAACTAAGCATGTAGTTTAATTTTTATATGTGGAATATCAACCACCTATGATTAAAACATGTAAAATCTGGAAATTGGCGGAGTTTGTTTCTCAAAACTACGTTAAGCCATACCTGAGTACTTTCCTCCATTTTTACAAAATTACTGTCTCGTTAAAGTTCTATTAATGAGCGCAAAGACAGGATATAGAAAATTTACTTATACCTATTTGGTATATATTTGATAGCTGTAATGTGTCTATAGCTGACCCGTAGGAATTCTATGATCGAAGCTCACAGAAACACATTCATGGAACTATTTTACTACCTTGCAGGTCATTTGAAATTCAAGTAGTAGAAGCTCCTGAGTTAGATGAGTTGAGAGTCGGTAGCGGATTAAAGGAAGGACAAATAGTTCAGATAACTTGCAACATTATCAGCGGTGATCCACCAATTTATTTCTCTTGGCTAAAGGATGGAAAGAAACTACCAGCTAGTTTGAAGGTTTGCTAAATAATTTTCTCAAGTGAAAGTGTCGGATAGTAGTCAGATAAGTGTATAAACTGAAATTTGTTTTTTTTTTTTTGTTTAAATCGTCTGAACATGTACACCTAATAGTGAGTGCTTATAATAAATTATAAATAGTTTTTAAAGGAATTCCCGTAGATAAGTAACAATAAAAATGTAGGAGTTTAAATTTAGTTTACGCTGCATGAGGAACGTCAAAAAGTTGTTATATTACAATTTTACAGGACCTATAATACAGCCTTGAGAAACACCACATTTTATTTCCAGATAACAGAAAGAAGTTCAGAGTTGTTCAGCGTTCTGATAATAAAACGAGTATCTCTGGAGCATTGTGGAAAATACACGTGCATAGCAACCAACCATGTTGGGAAAGTAAACCAGACTGCCGACCTTTATATTAATGGTGAGTCAAATGCTTTTGAAAGTCTTGAAAAAATGAAAATTTATTAAACGAGTATAGATATAATTTAATATCAATGTCTTATATATAAAAAAATATTTGCGGGTACGGTTAAACCAAAATAGTTATTCTGGGTGTTAAGTGCATGTGATTTTCTATATTTGTGTAAAATACTAGTGTAAAGCAAAATTTGAAAAAAAATATCGATGAAAAACGTCTTAACGCTCTCAGAATGCTATTTATGTGCTATAAAGAAAAACTAAAGCTGTCCCTTATTTTCTAGTCTCGAAAAACTTATTGATATAAAAATTCGTTAACCCATCAGTGTCAGTATCTTGTTTAATGACACACACAATTCTTAAGGCTGATTTTTCAATAGTCAGATAAGTGTTATCTGAGGAATAAAATTGTTGCTGTCACTGTCTTATACAAACATTCTGATGCGACAGCATCATAATTATTCCACTGATAACTTTTATCAAACATTTGAAAAACCAGCCCTTAGTAAAAGAAAAGGAGGATAACGCATACAAAAATTAATTTTCAGTTGCACCAAAATGGATAGAAGAACCAACAAACACGTCCTTGCTGTTAGGCCAACGCGGCGTAGTGTATTGCAACGCAAACGGCTACCCGACGCCGCAGATACATTGGATGAAGAGAGATGGTAAGTGAAATATTTACACACGATCAATAGCTAGCGTTAAATTGCTGTTGTGTTCGAATTTTGGCTTTAAAGGTAGTTTCGGACTATAATGTAATTTGAAGAAGATCCTTAAAGTTAAGAAGGGTCAAATTCGGATGAATAGGTCTAATTGATGTAACAGTTTCATTGATAATAAGTAATTTCGGAAGCATTGAAATTCTGGAGCCAAATAGATATACAAAAACTAGTTCTGTTTATGAAAAAAAGAGTACAACGTATACAAAACTAATTCTGTTTACAAAAAAAAGACTACATAACAAAATAAACCTAGAAAACAGAAAGTAATCTACTGGTAAGTAGATACGTCGTTACGTTAAAACAAACTGGTGAGAAGAAGCTATGTCAAGTGTTTGTTGCATTGCTTCTGTAGTTTTACTTAAAAAAATATACTGTTAGTGCAGACTAACAGACACAGCAGACATAACATATTAGAATATAGCTTCTTTCAGAGACTTCACCCTTGTAACTAGGCTTATGTGTTATTTTAGCCTACAAATTATACTTGTGCCAATTTCAGTTCAAATAAATAGTAACAAATTCCCAACCATTACTACCTTAAATTAACTATAATGTGTTGAAGAGCCATGTTTTGGCACGAAGGGGCTGGCTCGGCCGGAATGATTCCACGGCCTAAAAGAAAACTGGCGTGAAACAACCACAGCGTTGTGTTTCGCCGTGTGAGTCAAGTTACCGGAGACACAATCCTTCCCCTCTCCCAAACCCTAAATCACTGAATCTCTAATCCCAAAAAGGCCGGCAACGCACTCGTAACTAATCTGTTGCCGGATATAAATAAAAATCATCAATCAATCAATCTTATCAATCAAGCTTAGTCTCAGTTCACAGTAAAAGAAGTCTACCTTAGTCTTTGTAAACCTTCTTGAATTCAGTTAAACATATTACTTATTTTATTATCTCATTATTTTCACAGCAACATTAGGTATATGGAGACCAGTTCTGGACTTGGCTGGTGGAGGAGTGATGAGCTATCCAAACGGTACCCTCATTATTGAAGTGGTGTCGCTCTCCGACGAAGGGATGTATGCATGCAACGTTGAGAATGGAGTGGGCGATGCGCTGAACAAAAATCTTTGGATTAGTGTTAATAGTAAGTTTAAAATAAAGTTATGATCCATACTAATATTATAATAAACTAGCTATTTTCGCTCGCTGATCGGCTCCATTTAATTGTAGCGTGATGTTTCATAGCCTATAGCACTTAGGAACATTTAAGCTATCTATCAGTGAAAAAATTTTGGCAATCCGACCAGCGGTTCCAAAAATTACCCCCTACATACAAACTTACAAACATACAAACTTACAAACATACAAACTTACAAATATACAAACTTACAAAATTTACCTCTTTATAATATAAATATTATAAATGAGACTGTAAGTTTAAGTTAAGTTAGCAGTCCGGATTAAACAATAGGGTACGTTCTATACTATTATACGAAAAAAATGTTATTCCTGAGGGAAACTTATATTATAATATTATTATTATACAACCGAATTCCACGCGGACGAAGCCGCGGGCGGAAAGCTACTTTCAACTTCATTTAACAATTCGTCGAAAGTAAATAACAATTAATGTGGAAAAAGTATGGTAAGTAAAAGTGGTACTTATAAAGTTTTATTCAGTAAGATATTTTAATTTCAATGATTATTAGGAACTACAGAAGTTTGAATGACAAACTTTTTAGTATGTAGGTATTTATGTAGATGTGGTAGCTGACAGTTACAATTTTTTATCCAAAGTAGACCAAATTGTATTCTCCCATTATTTTATGAATAATAAAAAAAAGCCTTTGTTGTTGATTTCACTTAAATTAAAAATTTAATCTATATGTTCCTAACTAACCTATTAAGTTAATTCGTACTCGTAACTATTTACTACTCGTATCTTAATTAATGTATTATTAATAAAGTAACTGGTATAGTTTATTGCATTAGGCAAACGGTATACACTCTTCAACTTCTTCCGACATAGGCCTTCTCTAAAGATCTCCATTTTGTTCTATTATTTGCTGTTCGGATCCATGTTGGACCCGCTCCATTTTTATATATAGGATTCAATTTACTGTGGTACGGCCACACAGTCAAAAAAACCTACGCAAAAAAACGAAATCATAATTTTAAAATAAACCTCGACGTAATTAATGTATAATAACATTATAAGTGTCCACAAAGTCAGAAGTCAAGTAGCCTGGAAAAGTACTTAAATATTTGTTTCATCAATCAAATTGATCGATTTCGTAGGGGGAGTTGTAATAGAAGAAGTGTTTACACGTCTCCTCTTTCATACGTAATTACAAAATAAATTAGCTCATTTATTTGCTTTCTGTTCTTCAACGATCTAATTTGAAAAGTGCTTCTATTTAATTAATTCATTTTATAGTTATATTTGTTTTTTGATAGGTTTGTAGGCATAATCGTTATTGCTAAGTAGTACTTAGGTAAATATCTGAAACCGGTTAGGTATAAATAAATTCCTTTTTTAGGTTTGCGTGAGTTTCTTTTTAAATAATTTTGGTGGATTGAACGCTGTAATAATACAAAATATTTATTAGATAATAAAGTTTTTTTATCCCATACTTAAAAAATGGGTAACTATGTAAATAAGGATCTTTCAAGGTATCTGAGTCAAAATGACATACCTCAACATCACTGTCTCTTAGTATTTTTTTTAGTTTTTAATGTTATCACATTTATATAATAGGCCGGAATTAATTTTACCAAAACCTTAATACAAAATACCCAAATTATAACTAAGCACATCTACAGAATAAAAAATGTCACTAAAATGATTATTATTTAGAATATACGAGTTCTTAAGTGACTCAAGTTTTTGGTCTTTGAGGCCTTGAGGCCTTGAAGGACTGATGTCAGGGACTTTAATATTTTAACCAAGAAATTATTTCTAGAGCCAGTGCACTTTGAGTCAGTGGGCGCTAACCTCACTACGAAGATGGGTCTACCTGTGACCTTGACCTGCAGACCACTTGGAGACAATCCCATCAGAGTCAAGTGGTCGTTGGATGGAAAACCCATTGATTTTACATCATCGAGGTAATTTTTATTATTCTCTAATAAGTTGATAAGTTTGCTTTAGAAGCTTCTAAAACTATGAGTAAGATTCATTTTAAGGATAAGTTTGTAAATGAACTACGCTTTTTTGGTTGAAAACAACGCCATCTGTTGATTGTCGACAGATTTACTCTAGGGTGTCACAAGGTTTCAGGTAGCTAGAAGGATGGTCTTTGGTATAAAATTGAAGTTCACTTGTTTTGTAATCTTTAGAGCCAGATCATAGATGGCTCTGTACTAAACTAAACAACAAGAAAAGTAACACAATGGAGTAAGGAGAATCTGTGTATTTATTTCAGACTTACAATATCAGAAACAATGACTCGTAATGGGCTGAACAGTTTGATCAACATAAATTACGTGGAGAGCAGAGACGGAGGGACTTATGAATGCCGAGCTAGCAACCCTTATGGTGTTGCCGCTTATAATGTGCATTTGGATATACTTGGTAAGACACAACACTAACATGCGTATACTTTAGATGAGAAGTTTCTCTGTGCGTCGTGGTGACTTAGAGGTTAAGGTTTTTCATTGCAAGAGGATTCAAACGTGACAAATGTTAATATGACGTTTTCCGAGTGTTATGTACTTTTTAAGATGATGATGACTCCACTTACACACAAAAGACGAATATATCGTATAAAAACCGGGACTAATATTTTCAAATTATAATTTTAAAATCGCTTATTCACCCTCATCAAGTGTGGTGATTAATGTTAAAAGCTTCTCAGTATGACAAGAGGCTGATGATGATGATGAATTATTATCAGATTGATTAAAGAAAGCATTTTAAAAGGCATATAGCGCAATTGCTTGGTTTCTCATATATGTATTGTGACGGAAAACTCTTTGACATCATGACGTCAATGGATGGTTGTCAAACGTTGCCTAGAGATTGTAAATTTCGTCGTGAATTGTCAACACGAGTTGGTGTAATCGGTAAGGCGTGTGGATTACACCACAGAGACCCCGAGTTCGAGTCCCGCCGTAAACATGAAGTTTTTTAGTTGATGGAAGTTTTGTCGAACTTTCTGGAATTATTTGTGTGAAAGAAATGAAAAATTAAGGAGCGAGAAGGAGAATAAATAAAAATGAATAACGAAATTATTGGAAGGTTCTGGAGGCATGACGATCAAAAAGAATAACGAAATTGAATGTTCTAGAACCTGACCGGGGGTATATAAGCGGAACTGCGGCTCACCGCTGGCAGTTGAGTTCTAAGTCTAAAGCTGTTCGGAAGAAAAGGAAGAAGTGAAAAAGAAGAAAAGTGAGTGAAATAGTGAAGTGCAGTGAAATAGTGAAGTGCAGTCAGTTAAGTGAGTTAAGTCAGCGTGAACGGCAAAGTTGTGTCAGTCGGCCGGACTCTGCTGGAGAGGAACGCCGATAACTTAACTCCGTGGACGCTGTAACTTAAGTGCAATAGAAAGTCTGAAAACCGGTATTAGTGTTTCATTTTATCCAATCCCGTAACCCAAGCCCGCATAGTCAGGAACGTGACGTCAGGCACGTAACATTTGGTGTCAGAAGTGGGATTGGAGAAAAATGCCGCTAGTGCCGCATGACGTAAGAGGAGTAAGTACCCGTGCAATGTCAGAAGCGCAGCGTGTGAGGGAAGAGGGTGCTGCAGCTCAAACCAGCGATGCAGAAGCCAAGCCTGTGCAGGTGGATCTTCTGCTACAGCTGCAGCAAATGATGGCAGAGCAAGCGCGCCGCCAAGAAGAGCAAGCGCGCCGCCAAGAAGAGCAAGCGCGCTGTCAGGCAGAACAGCTGCGGGAGCTGAAAGAAGAGCAAGCGCGCCGCCAAGAAGAGCAAGCGCGCCGCCAAGAAGAGCAAGCGCGCCGGCAAGAAGAGCAAGCGCGCCGCCAAGAAGAGCAAGCACGCTGTCAGGCAGAACAGCTTCGGGAGCTCAAAGAAGATCAAGCTCGCCGCCAAGAGGAGCAAGCGCGTCGCTTGGAAGAGATGCACAAGGATTTCACGAAGGGACTGCAAAAGGCTGTCGAACGGGTACAAGAAGTGGAGGAAGGGTTAGGCAAGTTGGAACATCGCGTCATGGCGATAGAGGAGAGAGTGGAAGAAGAGATCTCCAAAATCAAGCAGGAAGTGGCAAGCCCAAGCCCTTTGAAGAGCCGAAGCCGTCTTGCAGCCGTTTTTGACACCCCAAATGTGGCCTCAAGCGCAACGAAAGGGCTCAAGATTCCCCATTACGACGGAACAACATCCTGGACCGCGTTCAAGCTACAGTTTGAGACACTTATGGAGGCTTATGGTTGGACTCAGAAGGAAGCACAGTCAGCCCTCACCCTGGCCCTCCGTGATCAAGCGCTCTCAGTGCTGGAAGCTATCGGCGCAAGTGGGGATCTCAGCTTTAGTGCCCTCCTCGACGCACTTGAGGCACGTTTTGGAGACAGCCACCTTGAGCACGTGTACAGAGCGCAATTAAAAGAGCATACTCAGCGTGCTAATGAGAGTCTACAGCAATGGTCCGTGGAAATCGAAAAACTTGTGCGTCGAGCTTTCCGGTCGACTCCGTCAATGATTGAAGGCACGCTTCTCCAAGCATTCATTGACGGTGTTCGGGACCCCGAAGTACGAGCTGCTGTTCATCTGGGCCATCACAAGAACATGAAAGAAGCTCTGGCCCATGCATTGGAAGTGGAAGCCGTGCGTGGTAACTCCCGTACCTTACGTCTGCGGGAAATGACACGACAACGGAGCAGGTACCTCCACGCCGTCGGAACTTCATGTGCTATGGATGCGGAGAGCGTGGGCACATGCGGAGCGACTGCCCGAAGAAGGTGAACCGCCAGGATGCGGCGGTCTCAACTTCTGACCAGCAGGAAAACTAAATCCAGCCAGGGCTGCGGGGTGGGCGCTGGCCGGTAGTGGAATAACCCCAACAATCTACATCAAGCAAACTAACGATGGAAATACTCTGGTGATAGACGGTCAAGTAAATGGGAAAAACAGTCAGCTAACGTTAGATACTGGAGCTTCAAGGACGGTGATGAATGTTCGGCTGCTCGGGCAAAACATCAGGAAACACCTTAAACCAATTGTTGGCCTACGAATGAAATCAGCTACCGGCCAGCGCATACCGATAAGTGGAAAATTGCATGTAACAATTAAAATTGGGGAACGTGTTTATCGACATGAGGTTATTGTGGCCAAAATTCTGGATGACTGCATCCTGGGACTTGATTTCCTGCAAGGGCACCAGTGTAACATCGACTTAAAATCTGGAGTATTACTATGTGGAACTGAGGAAATTCCGATGAAGGGTGGAACCCTGGGAAAAGTTTGCTGTTTAAGAAGAACTGTTCTTGCACCAAAATCACAGACTCTCGTACCAATTGCATTACCTAGGAGGAGGGAAGGAAGTTTACCTCGAAGGTGCGCTGTGATTGATAAATCGGAACACGTAAACTCATGGCTACCGGCAAGAACTGTCGTGGGGTCATCTGATGTCAACCGCATTCCGGTATTCAACTTCAGTGATTCAAAAATTACGATTGAAGAAGGAGAGCCTGTGGGCGTATTGGAAGAAGTGGCCTGGATAAGAAAATGCTCGGAGAATCTTGTGAAGAAGGACAGTACGGGAATAGACTTTGTAACGAAAATCTTAGATGAAAACAAAAGTCTGACAAAAGTGGAGACTATGAAGGCTAGAAATTTACTTCTTCGATTCTCTGATGTGTTTTCAAGAAGCGATGGTGATATTGGCCGAACTGGTTTGGTGAAGCATAAAATAAACACAGGTGATACAATGCCAATTCGTCAAAGGCCCAGACGCATACCATTCGCTCGTGAGAAAGAGGTTGAAGAAATGATTGACGATATGAGGAAAAATGACGTGATAGAGCCCTCTTCTAGCCCTTGGTGTTCACCTGTCGTGCTTGTCAAGAAGAAAGATGGTTCAACGAGGTTTTGCGTAGACTATCGACGATTGAATGATGTAACCAAGAAGGATAGCTACCCGTTACCAAGAATCGATGACACACTTGACACACTGAGTGGCATGAAATGGTTTTCAACGCTCGATCTGAAAAGCGGCTATTGGCAGGTGGATTTGGATCCCAAGGACAAGGAAAAGACCGCATTCTCAACTGGAAAGGGACTCTGGCAATTTAAGGTGATGCCATTTGGATTATGCAATGCACCGGCAACCTTTGAGCGTTTGATGGAACAGGTGCTGGCGGGACTGCTGGGCGAAACCTGCCTAGTTTACCTCGATGACATCATCATTGTTGGACGGGATTTTGACGATCATCTAAGGAAATTGGAAAAGGTACTCAACAAGCTGCGTGGAGCAAATTTAAAGTTGAGTCCAAAGAAATGCTCTTTCTTCAAGCGCGAAGTGAATTATCTAGGACATGTTATTTCTGAGAGAGGAATTGAGACTGATCCAGCCAAGACTGTCGCTGTTAAGGAATGGCCAACACCTAAAGACAAAACGCAAGTTCGGGCATTTCTTGGATTGTGCTCGTATTATCGGCGGTTTGTGAAAGGATTCTCGGACATTGCCAAGCCTTTGCATCGATTGACAGAGGAGAAACGTGCCTTTATCTGGGACGAGGATTGTGAGCAAGCCTTTCGAGTACTAAAAGAACGGCTTTGTAACACACCAATTCTCGGATACCCCAGCGCGAAAGGAATATTCGTAGTAGATACGGATGCCAGCAATATTGGAATAGGAGGTGTCCTTTCACAACGCGATGGTGAGCATGAGAAGGTTATTGCTTACTTCAGCAAGTCACTATCCAAGCCGGAGAGGAATTATTGCGTGACCAGGAGGGAATTGCTGGCCGTAGTCAAAACTCTGCACCATTTCAAGAAGTATTTACTGGGACGGAAATTTTTGATTAGAACTGATCACGCTGCTTTGAAATGGCTGCTTCAGTTTAAGGATCCCGAAGGCCAAGTAGCCAGATGGTTGGAACAACTTCAGGAATTTGACTTTGAAATCGAACATCGCGGAGGAAGAATTCATGGCAACGCAGATGCATTATCGAGACGCCCATGCGTGGAAGATTGCAAGCATTGTGCCAAGAAGGAAATTGCTTTTCTTAAGGTGATAAGGACTGATACTGTTGACGAGGCATGGGGAGATGATGCGATGAAATTAGAACAGGAAAGAGATGCAGATATTAAACCAATACTGGAGTGGCTACGAAGTGGTAACAAGCCAAGTTGGAGTGACGTCGCCCAATATAGCGCGGTAACGAAAGGTTTATGGGCACAGTGGAAAAGCCTTACGCTGCATAACGGACTTCTGTGCAGGAAATGGGAATCAACAAACGGCAAGGACGAGCATTTGCAATTGGTGGTGCCTCGTTCAAAAATAAGGGATGTATTAAAAGCGTTCCATGATGGATCTTCTGGAGGACATTTGGGAATTAGGAGGACTTTGGTGAAGATCAAGGAGAGGTTTTATTGGTTGCATTGCAAATATGACGTCGAAGATTGGTGCCGGAAATGCACTAGTTGTGCAGCTGTCAAGGGTCCACAAACAAGAAGCAGAGGGGCGATGAAAATCTACAATGTTGGTATGCCTTGGGAGAGAATAGCCTTAGACATCGCTGGACCATTTCCAATCACTGATTCGGGCAATCGCTACGTTTTAGTGGTTATGGATTATTTTACAAAATGGCCGGAGGTCTTTGCCATACCGAATCAAGAGGCAGTAACTGTAGCCACGAAGTTGGTAAACGAGGTATTCACCCGATTCGGAGTGCCCTTGGAGATGCACAGTGATCAAGGACGGAACTTTGAGTCCCAAGTTTTTCAGGAAACTTGTAAACTTTTGGGAATCCATAAGACTCGAACGACCCCTTATTATCCACAGTCAGATGGAATGGTCGAACGTTTCAACCAAACATTGGAGCGACACTTAGCAAAGGTGGTTGACAGCCATCAGAGAGATTGGGACACTTACATACCTCTCTTCTTGCTTGCCTATCGGACTGCTGTACATGAAAGTACCGCAAAGACGCCTGCATTTGCAAATTTTGGAAGGGAATTGAGATTACCGGCAGATCTTGTATCGGGCTGTCCACCTGGCGACTCTCGCACCGAGTTTAGCGATTACATAAGCGAGTTAAGGGCAAAAATGTTGGACATTTATGAGCAGATCAGGGAGGCCGGCCTTCAAGCTAGTGATCGCGCAAAGACGCGCTATGATCGACGAGCCAATTCTGTTGGGTTTGAAGAGGGGTCATTGGTCTGGCTTCATAATCCAGTCAGAAGGAAGGGAAAATCTCCGAAGCTGCAACCGAGTTGGGAAGGTCCTTATGAGATAGTCACGAAGATCAATGACATTACTTACAGAATTCGGAAGACTTCAAGGAGCCCTTTGAAAGTTGTCCATATAGACAGGTTGGCGAGGTATTACGGCAGCAACGATGCTCGGGACGAGCGAATCTAAGAGAGGGGCAGTGTGACGGAAAACTCTTTGACATCATGACGTCAATGGATGGTTGTCAAACGTTGCCTAGAGATTGTAAATTTCGTCGTGAATTGTCAACACGAGTTGGTGTAATCGGTAAGGCGTGTGGATTACACCACAGAGACCCCGAGTTCGAGTCCCGCCGTAAACATGAAGTTTTTTAGTTGATGGAAGTTTTGTCGAACTTTCTGGAATTATTTGTGTGAAAGAAATGAAAAATTAAGGAGCGAGAAGGAGAATAAATAAAAATGAATAACGAAATTATTGGAAGGTTCTGGAGGCATGACGATCAAAAAGAATAACGAAATTGAATGTTCTAGAACCTGACCGGGGGTATATAAGCGGAACTGCGGCTCACCGCTGGCAGTTGAGTTCTAAGTCTAAAGCTGTTCGGAAGAAAAGGAAGAAGTGAAAAAGAAGAAAAGTGAGTGAAATAGTGAAGTGCAGTGAAATAGTGAAGTGCAGTCAGTTAAGTGAGTTAAGTCAGCGTGAACGGCAAAGTTGTGTCAGTCGGCCGGACTCTGCTGGAGAGGAACGCCGATAACTTAACTCCGTGGACGCTGTAACTTAAGTGCAATAGAAAGTCTGAAAACCGGTATTAGTGTTTCATTTTATCCAATCCCGTAACCCAAGCCCGCATAGTCAGGAACGTGACGTCAGGCACGTAACAGTATGTAGTTTCTTATAATATTTTCTTAAAATAACCTTGGGATGAGAATCGATTACAAAATATATTTTACTCTACCTACACCACAAAGTACGGCAGCCAATGAACTATCGAAGTTGCGGGTCAAGCGCAATAAGGTACCGTAGCTAGTAGTAGTAAGGTCTGGAGAAGGAGCGGGGTGATTTTTAGTCCATAAGAGTCTGTTTCTCCCTCGCCACCTCACTCTGGGCGAGGCAACTCATTTGCTGAATTTTCCGGCCAAAAAAGGCAATGAACAATCTGTTTCCTAGACTGAAACAGAATAATATAATTTCCAGAGCCTCCAACACCTCCACTAGACCTTCAAGTGGACTCAGTGACCAGTAACTCAGTCAAGCTGTCCTGGAGAGACACTATCAGTACGCATGTGCAGTACTACACTTTGCAGTATACGACCAATGACTTCATGATGTGGGATACTGCTAAGAGCATGAATATTACTAGGTAATGTATATTTTATAGAGAACAATATTAAGTATCGTATTTTTAAGTAAAAGAGCAGATGGATTACAAAATGGTAAGCAATCGGCTCCGTCCATGTATACCATAAAAGTAACGAGTGCCATGCCAGCCTTATAGAGATTAGAGTTTCGGAAATTAATTGATTGGGAAAGGATAGGGTTGGTCTCCGACAACCTTACTCACACGGCGAAACATAACGTTTTAGATGTTATACGTTGGTATTTTGTGAGCCCGTGGTATATCACTCCAGTTGAGTCTACCGATTCGTGCCGAAGTTTGACTCTGTATGTGCTGACTTTGAAGTATTAAAGTAGTAAACTTGGACTGCATGAGGTTCTTGTATCATTTCATCATTCAGGGATTCTTTTATTCGTTTTATTTACTTCGAAATGCTCTGTGAACTATGTCATACAATGATACCAAGACCAAAGCCCTCAGTATAATTAAAAAAATAAAACACACTTACTAAATTGCAGAAATCTTCGAAGATCATTTGGCAAAGTGTAACTAAAGACGTCTCTAAATTTCAATAGCAAAAATTTTGTATTTTTCAGGCAAGAGAATGATGTTCGCCAGAATATCGAGCTAAGAGATCTGCAGCCGGCTATGGACTACAGAGTCAGGATAGCATCAGGCAACCAAGTGGACTTGAGTCCTTATACACAACCAGTTCATTTCAGTACACAACAAGAAGGTACTTAATAAAATTATATAACGTTTTTTTTCTTCTCCTCAAATAATATCTTCTGATTTATTTCGTTGCGAGATCCAAGACAGCCATTTATGTCCTTGGGACGCGCCTGACTTCAGTGTTCCAATGTTTTCATGGTTGTATCTACTGTAGATCTTGGCTTACACGAGTTTCAGCGGTCTTGGGAGATTTTGGCGGACTTGACCCACAAAAAATTACTCTATAAAGTGCACCTTAACTAGTGTTGAAGAGAAATTTTGCGATGAAATAAACCTAAAAATAATACATACATACAAATTTCAGGCCTGCTGTCATACACGAGGCATAAAGAGTTATTGTAGGCTAAAAAATTTTGAGCTTTAATAAATTCACAACACAATATTATTAAAAAAAAACGATTAAATTTAACGGATAAGGAAAACATCTAGTAATACAAAGGGAAAACTTACTAAAATAAGGTTACGCTTCAAGTTTATCTTCGCTTTCACAGCGCCATCGTCAACGCCTCTTGGAGTGCAAGTCCAACAGACGGATAATCCTGGAGAACTAATTGTATCCTGGTTACCACCGCCACGAGAGAGCCACAATGGACAATTGCAAGGATATCATGTGAAAGCTGTTCCTAGAATCAGTGGGGATCCAGGTAAAAGTCAAAATTATTTACGTCAATTAGACCCTTAGAGGCACGTTTGAATGAGAAACAAAGCTTAAATACAAAAAGTTTGTCTGTCAGTCAGTCCTCTTAGCGAAGTTATTTGCTCGTTTCGTAAAAGATTAATATGAAGGATTTCATCAGATATTATTAAGTTCTGTAAGGTTAAGAATTTGCTTTCAGGTGACTCTGTCAATTATCTCTGTTATTTAATTTAAAGTCTTTTGTTTTTTTATGGTGTAAGTCGGCAAACGAGCAGACGGATTACCTCATGGTAAGCAATCGGCGCCACCCATGAACAACCGCAACACCAAAGGAGTTACGAGTGCGTTGCCGGCCTTTTGGGGATATAAGGATCGGGATAGGGGAAGGGAAGGGATTGGGTCTCCGGTAACCTCACTCACACGGCAAAACACAACACTGTGGGTTGCTTCACGCCGGTATTCTGTGAGGCTGTGGTATCACTCCGGTCGAGCCGACTCATTCGTGACGAAGGTTGGCTTTCCCACACTTAAAAGATTTTAAATTATTAGCTTTGATACTTATTTTGTTGACGGTTTTGAATAAAAACTAATAGATTTTAATATAAAATGTTACAGTGCCCAATGATACTCAAACGAAAATCGTTAAAGTCATGTCAAGGAAAGGGAAGCAGGAGACTACTCTAAGTGGACTTTTGAAAAATATGAGGTAATTATATCGTCTTGTATTTATGTCAACTTTAATACGTAGTTTTATAAAGCTGCTATTCACTTGTAAAGTTTTTTCGCTAAACAAGTAAGCAGATTTATCAATCGGTATTGGTAAACAATCGGCGCCGACTATGGACACCTGCTAGACCGGAGTTGGGAGGAGTTGTTAGGGATTTAAGAGTTATTATACTGTGCGATTTCGGGATTAGGGGATGGGGAAGGGGAAGCATTGGGCCAGGAAACCTCACTCGCGTTGTTTCACGCTAGTTTTCTAAAAGGCCGTGTTATCACTCTGGTCGAGCCAACCCATTCTTTCAGATTATTTCGATTCAATTATTAGGGTGTGCATAAAATTGGTAATTTTAAACTCAACCAGTTTGACCAGACCGTAAAGTGTACAAAGGGTTTTGTACACTTTAATTATGCTAGCCTGCTTATTGTAGATTTGTATAATGTGTGCAATAAACTAGATAGGTATATAAATAAATAAAAAAAATTGGACTCCATACTACAACTGCACTGGCTTGATTAAAAAAATAGGTTCTATAGGTACTTATCTTATCAGCTTTTATTATAACATCTAATGACTTCACAATGTTTTTCAGATATGCTGTATCTGTGAGTGCTTTTAATTCAGCTGGCAATGGGCCCTTTTCATTACCAGTCTACCAGACTACGCGAGAAGGAGGTAAGATCTTAGTCAGTTTCTTCCGTACAGTTCGTAAGTTTTATTGATCAGCATAATTGGTTGTATATCTTTTAATACAAATTATCTTGTTTGTATGTATTTAAGTGACAAAAGAATCTTTAAAAATCTGCTCGTTTTTCGACCAAGTACCGATTTTTTTTTTGTATATTTTTTTGGCAATTGCGTACCTATACGTAATCATTCGGCGTCGTCAGTGGATACTCGCGACGCCAGATTTAAAAGAAGGAATATAGAATTTTATGGATATACTGATTAGGGATGGTGAAAAGAATCTCACTCATATGGCAGGAACAGAACACTGATGTTCTTTTACAACAGAGGGCCTACCATGACTTGTTAAAGGGTGAATCTTCCGGCATGAAAGAGGGATGGAGCTATAAAACGTGTATAGCACCATTCCTCTTTCTCGATCGTCATGGTAGGCCTACCAGCCGGGGTTTTGGGGGGTAAGCGCAATGAGGCACCGTGACATCGGCCCAGAGCAGGAGAAGGTTTTTAGTAAGTAAGAGTCTGACACTTCTTCTCGCCCGGCCCTAGGCGAGAGAAGTCATTTGATGATTTTCCCCTCACAAAAAAAGGCCTACAGTTTTCTGTGAGGCCTTGTTGTCCTTTACTGCGGTCGAGTCGGCTCACTCGTGCCGAAGCATAGTTCTCTCACACTTTATTTAGTTCTCAAGGCCATAAGAATTTGAAGCACATATTGCAGTGCCAAAAAATAAACTATACTAATTTTTATCTCAAATCTCCAGCTCCGGAACTGCCGCCATCAGGAGTAGAGTGTAGAGGAGTATCCTCATCATCCTTAAGAATTGCGTGGCAGCCAATCACAGCTCAGGGAGCATCTTTACTTGGATACTCAGTATATTATAGTACTGAAGGTATGTTAAAGAAATGTACCTATGTATGTATGTTGTGAGTTATTTTCAGTCTATTTAGAGTTTTTAAACGATTTAATCAAGTTCTTTTATGTTGGAAAAGGACCAGACGGATTACCCGATGGTAAGCAATCAGCGCCGCCCATGGACACATGTACCAAAGGAGTCATTACAAATGCGTTGCCGGCCTCTTCTGGGTTATTCAGGATTTTTGGATAAGCGATTTGAGGATTGAGGATGAGGGAAATGTTAATGAAGAGACTAAAATAAATTTTACTAAATTAGGTTAAATTTCAATTTGAAATTGTATATATAAGTTGATTGAGTTTTAAATCGAGTTTGACTAAACACATTTTTGAGAAATATAAGCCGGCGAATTGACGAAATAACGTTGGTGCGTAACTAAGCGCGATGTGGTCAATTGCCTTCATTTCATGTTGTCATTTTAGAGCGCGGACAACGTATCTATAGTTTTATACATCATTGCCTGCAACGTGCTAACTTGGCAATCGATTTAATCACTGAGCAAACGTTTATTTAGTTATTAACACTGATTTCTATAATAATAAGAATTAAGTGAAATAAACTTTTCCTTATACAGCGCAAAGTTGTTTTTTGAATACCGTGAATTGCAATTATTTCTTTCAGATGGACCTTGGCAGAACATAAGCTCATCACACACGGAGCTGTATCTTCAAGCTTTACTCAAATACACCAACTACACTGTGAAGGTAGCTGGTTTCTCAAACTATGGATTGGGACCATTCTCATATCCCATCGTTTGTACTACATTACAAGATGGTAAGTGACTTTAGGATCTATGTATAGATGTGAAGGAATTAATTAATCACTAGTACCTATCATCAAACAGAAAATCTTTTTGTGGGCGGCTTGGCATTGATATTGAAAAGTAATTTATTGAAAATAAAGACTGTTTACTAGTCGTGAATAAGAGTCCCGTTGTGGCTTGAAACTAATAGAGTTTTCCTCGATTACTTCAGAAGTGGTTATTTAAAATCATTTAGTAGGTACGTCTCACGATAGCTACTATCCAATAATTTTAGAGTAATATCTTCATGACCCGTTTTGTCAAGAATAATTATAATTCTCCCCGTCTCTACAGGACCGAAAAAAGATTCTCAAAAATCGAAGAACTTCTTTTTTTGAAATCTGAAGACACATGTAATTTCTTTTTAATACGAACTTTGCCCCACACTAGGATTTTCTCCTGTGTTGTAAGTGCGCTTACAAACATGTAATTTTACATACACATTAAGCATTAACAATAAATGATGGCAAAAGAAAATTAATTCAAACATAATTGTTATAATAAAAAAGACACCTATTTATTTCTTCACAGTGCCTGGTCCACCATCAGCTATAAAAGTTTTAGTATCATCACCTACTTCCCTCCTTGTCAGCTGGAAGAGACCAGAGGAAGCAAATGGAGACATTACACATTACACTGTTTATGTCAAACCAGTGTCCAGGTAAGAAAAGATATAAAATTTTAATTCTCGATAAAAAATGCTTAATTATGAAAAAACTTTATCTCATTTATTACTTGACAATATTATTTGTGTAAATTTAGAAAGATAGAATAAAATTAATCCAAATAGTCCAAGAATTTATTTGTAAGAGGTATTTGATGGTTGGCTCGACCGGGGTGATGCCATGGCGTCACAGAAAACCGGTTTGAAATAACCGCACTATTGTGTTTCGCCGTGTAAGTGAGATTGCCGGAGGCCCAAACCCTTCCCCATCCCCCATCCCTTCCGAATCCATATATTCCGAAACCATTATTTCTAAAAGGCCGGCAACGCACTCCAAGGAGCTACTCCTTTAGCATTGCGGGTATCCATCGGTGGCGCCAAGTAATCCATTTAATCGTTTTCCGTTCTATCATATAAAAAAAAAACAAATCAGTCAGTAGAACTTAGAGTTTGTATTTAAAAAAAATATCTGTATTTTTCCAGCACCGGTTCACCTCAAAATTACAGAGTGGAATCTACACAAGAGACAAGTCTTCGTCACCTGACGTTTCCAGTATCAGGTCTTTCAACTGGAAGACAGTACGAAGTATTTGTTAGAGCTCATACCGCAGTCGGTGAAGGCACACCTAGCAATAGAGTTCATATTGACTTGACTTCTAAAGGTTAGTTCTTGATTTTGGTGATTGACTAAATATGTGTTATAAATTTTGAACCGTATCAACAAGGCGATCTTAACAAGAATATCGGCTTAAAAATCAATGGAATTTGTATCTCTTATTCATCCCGATTTTGACATGCATGCTTATTTGAATTCACAATGTCCTCCTCGTCCAATATCAATTCTTGCCTAATTCTCTCATAGACACATTTTTTTTTATAAACACAATTAGGTTTCTATTTTTTAGCCAAAACCATTCGACAAGTTTACACAAAATTTTAAAGCCTTGGTTCTTCTATATTATTAGCAGTTATATTACAAAAATTAGTTATTACATAAAAGACAATTTGAAACAGCGAACGTCACGCATTCAAGATATCATACTGGATTAACTCTTGTTATTGCAACCGAAATGAAATGTGTGTTTGAATGAAATAAACTGTGTTTATTCGACATAAGACATGAATGCCAGGAACAAAAACATTATAACAAAAGAAGCAATGAAAAGGTTTTAAAACAGAGAGAGAAAAAAAATAAGCTAAATCATAATACTAAAACAGAGTAAAAATTAAAGATATAATATACTACGCAATGTTTGCAGACATGCTTAAGCCAAATGGGTCACCAAATCAAATAAAACACGATATAATTTGTGTGACTTTGGTAGTTTGTCTTTCATTTTTAAAATAATGTTTCTGTAAATATTTTTGCTTCCAGTGGTAGCGGGCGTGGCGTCCCTAGGCGGCGCGGTGTCAGTGGGCGTGGGCAGCTCCGTGCTGCTGGTGTGCCAGTGTGTGGGCGCGCCGCCGCCGCGCACCGTGTGGTACCACAAGCACAACATCATCACGCACCATCCCAGGTTCACCAGGAACCACGACGATAGCTTGCTCATTAATAGTAAGTTCTTTATCTTCATTTAAATTATAATTCTTGATACTAAGTTTTAGATTTTCATGTTTCATGTTAGCAATATAATTATTATTTAACGGGTATGAACAGTCTGCTTGCGACCACGACCTGGGGTGTGATTCTGTAAGACTTCATTCTAAACTTCGAATCTGAATCCGCGGTGAGTTTCTTGATTGGCATTCTAAAACTCGATTCCTAACTCGAATCTATGCTAGCGCTACACTTGTGAGTGTGTTTACGAGTTGAACTAAATTGACCGCAACATTTTGACAGATAAAGTATGAGATAACGTTGAAAATCGTATTCTATAATGTAATTTACCTGTCACTTCGACGCTCACTTCGAACTAGAACAAGATTCAAAATGTCAAATTAAAAGTATCTATTTTACGAGTGAAAATTGAAGAAATAATAGTTAGATAGTGTTCAAATTAAGTTTTGAAAGTAACAAAGTGAATAAGTGCTTACCTATTAAAACGATAACAATGGCAAGAATGATTTTGGTAAAATCTTTGTTAGAAGAAGCTCATGCTTTAGATAAACAAGAAATGCGTCGACAATCTTGCACCATTCGAAGTTTGTCTTTATTAACCTGAGGTGACGACTATGTGAGCGTGTATCTGCAATGGAGCTGATTGACCAACTGGAGTATGAGTTACTCCCTTTGATAAAACCCACAAAACGGCGAGGCAAAGGGCTTTGAACTTTCAAATATATACATATATCTGTATAATAATATAATAGTTTAGTTCACAACATATATTACCATGTTATACCCCTACTTCAGAATATATAAGTCTAATTACTAGGTTTAATTTATATGTGATTGGTCGGCAAACAAGCAAACGGATTACCTGATGGAAAAGATTCAGCGCCGCCAATGGATAACCGCAACAACAGAGGGGTTACGAGTGCGTTGCCGACCTTTTGGGGATTATGGATTTGGAGATTTTGACACACATTCACACGGTGAAACACAACGCTGTGGTTGTTTCACGCCAGTTTTCTGTAAGGCCGTGGTATCTCTCCAGTGGACCGAGCCATTCGTGCCGAAACATGGCTTTCGCACACTTAAAATGGTATAAGTACTAGATAGTCATTAAATTTTTTTTCAGGTGATTCAGGATTTGCTCGACGTACGACGACCTTATGACACCATTAGTGGTGTTGAAGACAATTCCACAGAAGCATTTTAAAATAACATACATATTACTGCTCGCAATTCAGAAGAGAGGACAATTAGAGACGAAATTATGTACAATTGCTGAAGTTCAAAGAAGGCAAACTAGGAATTTGTCATCTAATACAGGTTTTAATCTAGGACGTAGGCAAAATATAGTGCCTCAAAGAGCCAATAGACTACCACAGACGGAGCCCTACAGGGCTGATGTTCAGCCACGGTGGAGGGGCAAGCGCAATGAAGTGCCACGGTCACGGCCTAAAGCAGGAGAAGGAACGGTGGTTTAGTCAGTAAGAGTCTGACACTATCTCGCCGTTTCCCTGGGCGGGCCTAAAGCAGGAGAAGTCATGATGATTTTCCCCTGACAAAAAAATATGATTATGATTTATTTTATTTTGATTTTAAGTCAATTAGGGTGTTGTATGATTTTACTTTTTCCATTTATTACAATTTTTCCTTTTAATTTAGCCTTACGAGCCTAATTGTTAGGCCCTAGTTGATTTATTGTAACCCATAATTGTTTGAATGTACATTTGAGTTAAAGTCAAATAAATAAATAGTCAGTGATATGTGAGAATGGGTCTTTAACTAATAAAACTGCTAGCACTCGTTAAAATTCTTTAATTTAAATATAATAAAAAAGTTGGTTGAAACCTTCTTAAAAACTAAAACACAACTTCGTTGTTACACCCTATCTTGATGCCATGGCCTCTGCCAATGCTCATAATCCATTCCCGATTGAAACTACAGATCCAGCTAAAATTTAATCATTCCCTAGACTTCTCTTCAGAAATGCTTGCAAGATCTGTGCATTTGATTTTTGTAAATTCTTCCAATTGATTTGAAATCGTCTACTCTTCCACACTCAGGAATCCCTCTGTGATGTTGAAGAATTCTATTCGCCGTTGTGATGTTGTGTGACGGGATGCTGAAAAGAGAACACCGATTACTATGTGCATTGATAAAATCTCTTTAACAAATTGCAGCTTTTCGCTGTCGTTTGTTCCAAAAATTAAGTTCTTTCTTCAACCTCTGATAGCTCAACTTCATCTTCCACCACACCAGTCCTGTCCTGCGCCTAGCTGCTGAGCTTCTTATGGCGCTTTTTTCTCAGACCAATACTACAAGCAGACATTTATATTAATAAAGAAGTTATTAAAAAAAGCCTTACTTTTTATTATTATTAATAGTCAACGTAAAATTAAAATAAGATAAGTTATATAACCAAGGAGCACGCCAAGATTCATCGCTATTTTAAGTGGCTTGCATTAAAGAATATTAAATGGTTTTAACATGCCAAAGTAAGCACTACTTACTTCACCTTGGTCCTCTGTTTATAAGTTTTGAAAGTGCCACCTATACTATTCAGGCACACGGCTAGTTCCTTCCACTAGCGTCGCTTTCGCTCTCTGGCACCTTGAGTTCTCAAGAAACCCTTCGCCAGCCAGGTTTCAACCTGAGATGACGACGGGTGTGAGGAACGTATCTCATTTGGACTGAAACATTATTGTTTGATTAGAAAACAAAATAAACACTCTTTAATAAATATTATTTTTGAACTTTACAACCAGTAATAAAACTTACTTCATGATTATTATGATGTCTCTTTTTATCGGCAAGCACGAAACGAAAAAATATACGAATAAACCAAACGTGGACAAAATAATACAAAGCAAATGACAAAGAATTTGTCAACAATGAATGAAGACATTATCTGTCAGTTTCTTTTTGGTAAACGTAGCACAGACTATATTCATCGCCTGAATTTACAGTTTTCTGTTTATTTTGTAATAATTAGCTGCCTTAATTTCCTTAAAATAAGAAATTTCAATTTATACGTCATAATATCTAAAATTCTGTGTCAAAAACTTGTTAAAATAAAAACCGATAAATCTCGACTTACATTATGTGGAGTATGGTACCACACTAGTACCAGTTCTCTTCACTTCACTTCGCAAGTGCCTAGGTGATGCTTACAGAATGCAAAATCAACGCCATTTTGAACCTTATGCGAAGTGAGAGAGAATATCGACTTGACATGCGAGTTCGTGTTAGAATTTTATAGAATCGACGTGCTGTGCGAAACTGTGACGCGACCTTTTCAGAGAAGTGTTTGTGGTTTAAAAAATACTTTTCGCGTTAATACCCGTCTAATAATTATGTTGTTATAATTCTTGATGATGATTTTGAATTTAACCAATGATTTTATATGAACAATAATAATTGAGGTCCTTGAATCATGAACAGTTTAGTGTCAACGATAATTAGGTACAATGTCGAGTTAAAGCACAAAGAAATTGTTGTGCTATTAAACCCTCGCAAAAAAGAAAAGTTATTCTGCATGGCCACAAGATGAACAGAAGATCTGATGAAGGACAAATAAAACTGTTGGATGGAGGTCGCATTTGATCTGTAAATCTTTGGATTTCTTTGTTTTCTGTAAATGTTTGGATGTCTCGTATTCCTCAAGACCTGCTTTTATTTGTACCATTTCAGGAAAATCTCTATTTTCTTCTGCAAACCATAGTCTATGTAGTCTATAGAAAATAATATTCCCAATTTTCAAGGAACTGTTACCTGACTTCCATTTATATTTTTCCAGATATCGACCAATCACTAAGCGGTAATTACACCTGCTTAGCCAAGAACCTGTATGGTTCAGATTCAGTGTCTTACGAAGTGCTAGTATTACCTACCCCAGAACCGCCAAGTTTGAGGGTAACCTCACATAAAAATGCGATACATCTGCAATGGGAGATGCCAAGAAAAATTGGTGGGAAGTCACAGAAAATAAGTAAGTGTCGTGAAAACTACAAATGTGTGTTTTTTTATGTGATAGGTCGGCAAACGTGCAAATTGATACCTAATGGTAAGCAATCAGCGCCGCCCATGGACACCCGCAACTACGGAGGATTTACGAGTACATTGCTGATTTTTTTGGGATTAGGGATTTGGCGATTTTGGGGATGAGGAGGGATCGGGCAGGGGATGATTGGGCCTCAGGTAACCCTCACTCACACGGCGAAACACAACGCTGTGGTTGTTTGACGCCAGTTTTTTTGTGAAGGTGTCATGGTATCACTCTTGTTGAGCCGGCCCATTCGTGCCGAAGCATGGCTCTCCTAAAGGCTTCTCTCAGCAATATTGGCTGTTTGACTGCACGGTTGGCGCGGTGGTTTGGCAACTGGCGCGCAACGTGACTGCGATTGAATAACTCTTTGTGTAATCCACAAATTGTTGTTCGGGGTCTGGGTCTGATGTGTTTGTGAAATTGTATGTTTGTAAACGCACCCCATTTACCCCATTATGTGATCAAAATACACATTTTACATAAGTTAAGTGATTTGCATCCCTAAATAATGTTACATATATTATTATATTTACTCACATAAATATATTTTCTTATCTTAAATGCATATTGCATACATAGAATGGAGATTTAAGTGATGGACTTATTCTTCCTTTTTGACACGACAGCATCATAATTATTCCCCAGGTAACTTTTATCTAACCATTGAAAAATCAGCCCTAAGACAGTGACAGCAAAAATTTTATTCCTCAGATAACATTTATCTGACTTTTGAAAAATAAGTCTTAAATAAAAAAGTAACTTAAAAGAGAATTAACCGATTATAAAATCAATCTGACACTGTACCGTACTGCTCATTTCAGGTTACAACCTCACCTGGAAAGAAGCCAACGGTTCTTGGCAGGACGCTTGGTCAAGCAAGGGAACTTCTCTGCAAGGCACTCAAGAATACACTCTTCAGGGATTAAAATGTGGCACCAAGTATTCCCTTAGGATGACCGCAGCTAACAGCGTGGGGTCTTCCCAACCAACTTACATGGATGCTACTACTTTAGGAGGAGGTTTGTTAAATTTATGATTTTTACAATAAATTTAACCAGACAAATTCGATACTATTATTGAATTGTTAAAAGCGATAACTTCCAATGATTTTTTTTTTATGTGATAGGTCGGCAAACGAGCAATCGGATTACCTGATGGTAAGCAATCAGCGCCGCCCATGGACACCCGCAACGGAGGAGTTACGAGTGCGTTGCCGAACTTTTAGGGATTAGGGATTTGGAGATTTAGGGATTGAGGAGGGATTGGGGAGGGGAAGGATTGGGCCTCCGGTAACCTCACTCACACGGCGAAACACAACGCTGTAATAGTCTGTGATTTTTATTTTTTCATAATAAGCAGCGTTAGGCCAGTGTTTCGCCTGGTGGTAAGCGATGATGCGATTTTCGATGGAGCACACCTACCTATATAGCATAATATATTTAGCTATAAAAATTAAAATAAGTAAGTATATTGAATTATGAATGATTGATTTATACATATTTTTTTATAATAACTATCGTGAGACAGCGATAATAACTATCGCGGACGCGGCGACGTCGCGCAGCCTTCCTATATCAGTAGGCTGCGCGACGTCGCCGCGTCCGCGCACGCTGCTCACGAGGAAGAACCCCTCTGTGGTTCGAAACTAGTAGAGCTTTTCTCAATATATACACGTGAGTAACCCGCGATTTTTAGTTAATTTATACATAATTTATTGTATTAGTCAAATTATTTAATTTCTAGCGTAGTTATCTTAGGTCAGAACCTAAGATAACTACTCAATCGACTCAAACTTTCCAATTTCATCTTCATGACTAACTGGTCAGAAACCATAGCAAAATTGATTAGTTCCATTTTGACTGAAAACCCATAAAGATGTACAGAATTTCTTCTATTAAAAAATGACAGCGTGTGCATAAATATCTAATTTCTGATACTAGAAAACAGAAAGGCATTGGATTGTGATATATGTATTAGCTGAGTAAACTTTATGAAATGGCTTTTAATATTTAATTCTAGTATAAATTTCAAAATTCTAATTTCATATTTCAGTTCCAATATCACCAACCAGCACCGAGTGGTTCTGGAGTAACGCCACTCATATCTACATTCAGCTCAGTGGCTGGGATGACAATGGGTGCGAAATTACTAGGTTCGATGTTGAATACAAGGAGTATGGAAGCAAGACTTGGAAGAAGGCTGAAAATAGACTGGTTAGTATTATAGTAACACTTACTTATACTATTTTAAGTTCTAAGCCTTTCTTAATAGCAGCCAAAATTGCAAATCAAGCGCGATAATACAGCAAAAGAACGGGGTGGTTTTTAGTCAGTAAGAGTCTGACCGTCCCTTTCGCCTCAAAAAAAGGATCTCCTCTTCATTGTAATAGGAGGTAGGACTTTGCAAGGTAAAAGAACAGGTTTACTAATCCTGGACTATTAAATTGAACTTGAAATGGAAAATTTTGAAAAAAGGTTGACTACTTGGCTTATTAGAATTTAATTTAATTGGATTGAATTGACGACAGGGCAAGAAAAGTGCACTGATAAGAATAGGTTGGGCTGTTCCCAAGCCAAAAAAATCGTTTTCTGTGCTCCACAAATTCATGCACTGGATTTGGATGTGTTATATTTAATATACGCGCGACAGACAAAAAAGGTTTAGCGCGGGGCAACGTGAAAAGCGTCAAATAATATTATTCTGCCCAGTGGTTTATCAGTGAAGCTAAATTCTGTTCCAAAATCTTAATTGTTCTAATATTATAAACCGGTTCTTTTCTCTTTCCAGCCTTCAATAGACCAAGCGTGGAGCCACTACGTGCCCTCTTCAATCCTTGCTCAGCCAAACTCATTTGTGTTAGCAGAGCTGACACCAGCTCAATGGTACCATGTCAGGGTCACCGCTGAGAATGCCGCTGGTGTCTCCACGTCTGTGTATAGTTATGCTACCACTACTGTACAAGGAGGTTAGTACTTTCTTGACATTTTCAACTTTAGGATACTATTATGTTTTCTTTAATTTTGTTTGTACGTTTATTGAGTTCAGTTTTATTAGAGACGGAACTTGATTTATGGCGTTGTTGGTCGCTTTGGATTGGAGTCTTATGTGGATGTAGGATTCTTAGTTTCTAGAATGGATAAAAATAAACATCGTTTTAAACCAACGAATTATCTGGATGAAAAGCAGTTGGCGCTGCTCACAGATACCTGCAACACCAGATGAGTCATGAGTTCGTTTTCGGCCTTTGGGGATAAGAGTTTGAGGAGGATTATGCCACCAGTAACTTCACTCACGCGTCAAAACACAACGCTGTGGTTGTTTTATCCTTTCATTTTCTGTAAGGTCGTGTATCATCTTCTAGGCTTAATAAGTATACCTAACATATAATAATTATTATTATTTTGTTTTATTGTTGCAGAATCAGTTGGACCACCATCAGATTTCTTCGATCTAAACATGCTGGTCATCATCTGCAGTTCTATCCTTCTCATGATCTGTTCGCTGACATGTGTTTACATACTTGTGAAGAGGCATAAGTAAGTTATGTTTTTGATTGTATATCGTGCAGTATTAGATTAAATTTCGTGGTGCTTTGAAGGTTAAGGCTCCTACTTCTCTTGTGGGTTCAAAATCTTGAAAAAAAAAATCTGTTTTTTCTGAGTTATATGTACCTACTATCTATGATTTTTTTAGACAGCAATGACATACGGTGAAGAAGTTATTTCCAATTGTAAGTTTAAAATCGCCAATCCACAGTTCGAAGCAAATGATAAATCGGGATCACTTTTAGTCAGTTGGGATGGCTATAAGTCAGTAAGAGTGTTTCAAAACTACAACTCGATTCAGTAACACCATTATGACGATATACTGTCAAATAAACTTCTCTTAATACATATCCTTTAAGTAATTATTCTTTCTACTAAGACCTATTACTTTCCAGCCACCACCACCTCACAGAGTACAGAAACTCTTTGACAGCCGAATGTAAATCAGAGCGCAGTAATATGACTGTGAACACACCGCAAAGTGTGCCTACTGATATGAGTAATAGGGTCTATAGTACACCTGTCCATCTTACGGCGGAAAATAAACATGGTAAGTGGTTTTATACAACTGTAGTAATTATATGAATAGAAATGTTTGATTTTCCTATAAAATTGTGTCTGCAATGTTAAGGCGATTTTTCTAGTAGCAAATGGGCTACCTTACAATTTTTTTTAAATATTTCCGTAGTGTATCTGATTCAAAAAATTTGGATTTGGTAGGAGTTAAAAGAAATAGATACTCGTCCCAGTAATAAACGCGGATGCAGACTCAAGGTCAAATCCACAAGAAGATGTAGATTTTTTTTTGTTTTTCCTTCACAGAATTGTACGAGATAAGTCCATACGCACAGTTCGCGATAGGTTTCCGAACGTTTGGTCATGTGGACAATCAAGAAGTGCCGAGTAGAGTCCATCTACCTGGCAATAGCAAATCCAGATATGATAGTGGTAAGTGCACTTAAGATTCTTACTTAACGTAAAGAACAACAAGAAAAAACAGAAACTAAAAATTTATTTCGTATTCCATGACAATTAACAAATACAATAAAAGTGTTATCACAGCGCAAAATGGCCAGTCCTCAGCAAAATTTTCTTCTCCGGGCATGTTGCCTCTCAATTGAATTGAATTGAATAACTGAACAATCTTCTACAGCGATTCTGTTTCGAAGTTCACAATATGTCGTGGACTAGTGGCACTAAATTGTTGCTAGCTCCAAAGAATTTGTGGAAAATAATAGTCACATAAACATTGGAGCCGATTCATACTGTGCGATGCAGATCGCCTATAACTACTCGATAGCAGTGAATGTCTTCAAGGGTTATCTGATTATAAAGGACATTTGTGCCAATGTTTGGCCCAATGTGTGGAGCCTTGTAATGACATAAACTACGTGATTTTGTTATCTTTTTACTTCATCAGATTTGATAGTTTACTTAATATTATTTTATTTATTTTTCCAGAAACAAGTTTTCAAATGCGATCCGAGTCTGAAGAAAGTGACTGCGTATCGCGAACAACTACGCTGAAAAGTGTGCCAAGAAGTAAGTAAAATTGTACATTCCACTATAAAAAATACAAACTAAGAGTCCTGCTGGCGTTATGGGTGAAGCGCAATGGCTTACCTGACTCGGAGCGGTATAGAACTAGATTGACTGGGCGGTTGACGCGGTAGCTGGGCAACTGGCTGTGGCGAAACTGAAAACTAAAACTGTAATGGTTGTAATTTTTTATTCATTAATAATCGGTACTCCCTGTCACCCCAGCAAAGAAGGGAATGAGACTCTCATGACAAATACAAACAGAATTAAAGTAGGCTTGCTTATTACAAAAAAAAAAAAAAACGTGACAAAGGCCAGGACATTTTTCTTAAGAAAATTTGGAATAAAACGCCATCTGTCGGCGAATACGGGAACTAAGTGTGAGTATGGCTGTGAAGTAAGAATGCATGAGAAAGTGCGCAAGTAATTTGTACACAAACCACTCGATGGCAGAAAAAAATACTTATCATGAAAATCTGACAGGGGAATAATTATAAAAAAAACTATTTTCGCTGTAAAGATGTGATTGTTTTATGGGTTAGTTCAGCTAAAGAGCAAACAGATATCCTGATGGTAAGCAAACGATGCCGCCAAAGAATACTAGTATCGTAACACCAAAAAAGCAATTTAAGGGTTGAGGACGGGGAGAGGGTGGATAGGGCCCCTGGTACCTTCACTTATTAAGCGGAACACAAATTGAGTGTTGTTTCATATTCGGTATTCTAGAAGGCCATTGTATCGCTTTATTCGAGCCGACCTAATCACGCCGCATCACGGCTCTCCCATATTTATTTATCCTCGAAGGGTAAAACCTGTAAGCAAATAATAATTATAAAGTGTGGGAGAGCCATGCTTCGGCACGAATGGGTCCGCTCGACCGAAGTGATACCACGGCCTCACGGAAACCCGGCGTAAACAACCACAGCGTTGTGTTTCGCCGTATGAGTGAGGTTACCGGAGGCCCAATCCTTCCCTCCCCCGACCCCTCCCCAATCCCTAAATTGTCAAAACCCTAATCCCTAAAAGGTCAAGGTAACTCCTCCGTTGCGGGTGTCCATGGGCGGCGATGATTACCATCAGGTAATCCGTATGCTCGTTTGCCGACCCATTATATAAAAGTAGAAAAACTTAATCAAAAAATGATTTTAATTTAATTTTCAGAAGCCTGCCGAGTGCCACATCATAGGTAGCTGAGGAAAAAACGGGATAATAAATAACGATTATTAGACAATTTTTATAATGGTTGTGTTCATATCAACATAATAACTTACTGTGTCATATAAACTAAGGTTATAATATTATTATATTATTATTATTTGTATGTACATCTTTGAAATAGTAGTGTCTAAAAATAAATTGCAATTTGTATAAATTGAGTAACAGTTTGTAAATATTTTTTATATATTAGTTTTCATTTTAAAATGTGCTGAAATTGATTTAAAAATTGAATGTTGATTTAAAAGTTAATCACTGTATAAGAAAGTTTTTTAACGTCATAGGATGGTTAACGAGTAGATGGATTACCTGGTGGTAAGCAATCAGCGCCGCCCATGGACACCCGCAACACCAGAGGGAGTTGCAAGTGCGTTGCCGGCATAATAAGTATTAGTGGTTTTGGGGATTCAAGTATTGGAAAAGAATGGAAGAGGAGAGAAATGAATGAAAGTATATCTCCCCCTCTATCTAAAGTCTAGCCCTAAGTCTCCAAATCCGCTATCCTTAAATTCTTAACAATCCTGTGGGTACAAAAGGCCCGCAACACACTTGTAGTCACTCTTTTGGTGTTTTAATCCATCTGCTCGTTTTTACCCTGTGAAAAATTGTCAATGCATTTAGTATTATTTTGAAAGTATATATTATAATTCCTAATAGATAATAAGGCTTACTTTTTATAGTTATTAAAATAAATATGAGAAATATTATACTTATTTCACAAACTGTTACTAACTTAAACTATAACAGTCAATAATTATAAATAGATTTGTTATAAAAAATAATTAAATCTAGTCAACGTTTTCGATCTCATTCTACCCTATATTAATAATGAAACAATTTTTAAATATTTGTTTAAAATCCATTTTATAAAATTGTTGAGTTTATAATGTGTAAGTTTTTATAAAAACATATGGTGAATGAAATGTATTACCTATATAGTAGGAAAGTTTAAATTTATTTATTATGGTATAATTAACTAATAATACAGTTTTTATTACATTTTCTCAACATTTTTAAAATGCAACCCATAATAAATATCTTTTTTTTTCTTATTAAATATAAATTACAAAAATGTTTAATAAAATAACACTGCCATTTTTGTTTTTGTATTTTTTTCGAAAGTAAAAAAACACGATTCTTTGTAGTAGAAAAAAAGCATAAAAAGAATAAAAATTGAAACAACTTAATTATCTTCAAAAAGACTGATTATTTAATGTTTATTTTTTAATATAATAATATGTAAATCCTCGATTTACTATAGAAATAAAATTTCGAAAATATTAAATGTTAGAATACTATATACATTGTTTTATTTAGCAACCATAAATATTACTCCTGGGTGTCTATGACTTGGATATCCCTGCATCATATAGTTATCATTTTGCCTTTGCACGGATGCAGTACTGATACAATTTCTCCACTATTTAATCGATGTTGTTTTAGATATAAACCTTCCTCTTTAATGACTCTATCTATTAATAAAAAGTGTAAAAACTAAAACCCAACTACGACTAAAACCGGCGCTGAAAAAGTATAAAAAGATTTTCAGAATACTGAAAGGCGTAGTCACACGTTATCAAAGTGCAGGTATGGTAAGTAAATTTAACGTGTGACTACATACATATTTACATACATAGCCTGTCAAAATCATAACCCTCCTTTTGCTTTGCCGTAGTCGGGTAAAAAAACCTCATCAAAATGCATTTCGTAGTTTTAAAGATTTAAGCATACATAGGGATATCTTTGTACTATTTGATTATAAGCTATTTCTTGTCAGCCGTGATACTTTTGAGTCATAAAAACAAAAAAATAAAAAATAACCTTAAAATTTTACCTAGCATTTCAGAGACTGAAATTATCAAATATTATAATTCTGATCAATGATAGTCCACCTTCGTACTACCAGAGAATCGACAAAACATCATCGCTTCATGGTGGGTACCTATAATATATCCCACCTGCACACACAAAGCGGTTAGCCTCCACTTTTATTATCAGAACCACTAAGGAGTGGAATTATTTGTCGTAGTTTGTGTTTCCAGAAGGGAAATGGACCTGGATGTCTTCAAAGCCCGAATTAATAGGTTGCTTATGGGTAGGCAGGACTATTATAGGTCGCGTCATCGCTTACTCAATTTTTTTTTTTTTTTTTTACTTTCAATAAACCAGTGCTTGACTGCGATCCCACCTGATGTTAAGCAGTGATGCAATCGTTGATGGTAAGGCGCACTAGTTTATTAAGAGCCTATTCACTCTAGCCTTGAAGACACCTAAATTGTATTCGGACGGAAAGACTGCAGCCGGCAAACTGTTCCAATCCCTCGATGTACGCGGTATAAATGACGAGGCAAAACGCTTAGTCCGGGCCGCAGGTGTCTCAACAACGTAGGGGTGGATATTCGCCGTACGCCGGGATGTCCGAAGGTGAAATTGGGATGGCGGAATCAAATCGTGCAATTCCTGGGCACACTCTCCAAAATGTATCCTGTAGAAAACCGCAAGGCTGGCTACTCTGCGCCTGTGCTCGAGACTTTGAATATTGGACCCAACCAAATCTGGATCTCCAATCAGCCTCTTTGCACGCCTTTCCACCGAATCCAAAGCCGCTAGCTAATATACCTAATATTTTTTTATAAGTTTATGTTCGGCACAGTCGCTTTTTAGGGAACCGTGTATAGTGTCACGGATTAGATTCCCACACGGAATAATTATGTGTGATCCTTAAATTGTTATGGCGAGTCTGGGTGTGATGTGTATTGTATGTTTGTGAACACACCTACAAAACAAGAGAAAATCTTAGTGTCCTCTCAGCCCTCGGTATCGTTATTAAGTTTTTTTTTGTCCGGGGAAAATTATCAAATGACTTCTACCGCCCACTGTAGAGAGAGAGTGTCAGAATCTTACTGACTAAAAACATCCCCGTTCCTTCTCCTGCTCTGGGTCAAGGCCGCGATGATTCATTGCGCTTAACCTGCAACCTCGGCTGAACATCAGCCCTATAGGGCCCCGTCTGTGGTGGTTTATCGGCTATCATTAGGGTTAAGCTGGGGGTTAATTTAACTTATGTATTCGGTAATGTAAAAAATACACAATATAAATAATACCAACTTAAAATAAATCCATAAAACAATTGACGTTACAAAACACGAGGTCTTTCGACTGATGCTTATTTCACACGAAACGATTAGACAGAAGACTTATTTCTATCTTTCCAAAGTGTCACAAGTCACAACAAAGCAAATCACCTAATCAAAAAACAAACAAAAACAAATTGGAATCGCACAAACAAAAACTGAAGCTGAAACAACCAAATCTTGACCTTTAGAACATAAATTCGAAAACACAAACACGAAATCAAAACTTGAAGCACATTAGCCCAATGAAGCGTATTGCGTGGGAAAGAAAGTGAATTTCTCTATTGAAAACAACGTAGAAATTGAACTAGAGTCTATTATATACACAAAATACAAAACTTTTAACGTAGCCTTAGGTAGAAAGTTAGGAAGTTTTCATATAAAATCGTTTGAAACAGCGATTTACTTTGGTTGTGCAGTGAAACGTGAAATTGGCGGAAAACTCTTGGGAAGGATGGAAGTTACCGAAGGTGTTTGATCTTGATTGACTGTGAGAATGTGGAATGTATTGATACAGACTTTTAGAGACAGGGAAGTACTTCAGATAAATATACTTTTATGTTGTACCTTTTAGATCCTACTTATGTATAATGAGGCTTTCATTAATGAGCAGAATTGCAGCAGCGATACACAACGCGGCGAACGTCTTGCAAACAAAATTAATTCATTAATTTACTAGTACACTTAGGCTACTATAACGTGCACGACGAAATTATAAAAGCTAGCCGCATCATCGTCTGCGCAAAAAACAAACCATTATTACATTATAATACTCTACTTCATTGTACACTACGCTATGGTACGTTATACTAAACTACACTAGACTACTTTTAATTATCACCAATCATGATATTAAGAAAGTAACAATGTGACTTTTACCGAGTTTTGTTTTTTTTTAATAGGAAGCAAACGAGCAGCCGGATCACTTGATGGTAAGTGATTGTGTGTGTACTTTCTAAGATTATTTAGATATTACTAGCAGACGGTGAAGGAAAACATCGTGAGGTAGCCTGGACTTATAATTCATTATTATAAGTTTGACATTGTCAATCCGCCTAGATGAGCAAACATGATGATTAACGCTCAAACATTATCCATGTGAGAAGGGGCCTTAGTCAGCTGTGGGCTGATGATGATGACGATGATATGAAAGCATTTGGTCTACCTAATCACCAGGTAAAATAGACTCTCTCATTAATAGATTTCGTCACCTTTCTAGTACTTACACAGGTACACAACAGATACCTTACCGCAATTATAAATTAGGTCATCGATTTAAACAAGCCGGGCTATCCAATTTAACGGTTGGTGTATCCAGTCGAGAATTAGAAGGACTTAAGTCAACTGAATATCGTTTTAATTGAAGTTTCGTAAATTCTTCAAATAGTAAAAACATAAAAAGATTTTATTTCCTTAAGTACTGGCAGAGTTCCATATCTCATGTTTTTATAGTTAAGTGATAGAAGGATATGTTCTCAATTTATATTGAGAAGCAATTATATTTTATCCAAACCAAGAATCAGCACTAAACACCGTTTCACAAAAATCAATTTTATTTCAATGGCCTAAAAGCCATTAGCCAAAAGCTGACTCGCCAATATAATTCCAATAAGCAATTACATTTATCGGCGAGATTCCCTCCTAAATATTTACCAAGAACTAACAATATAATTCTCTGCTAAATAATTGTGCAAACAAACTGATTGTTGTGCGCATAACTACCGAACACTTTCGTTGGACCGCGACAACTTGGAAACTTCGATAATATAAAGTTGGGAGCTTGAAATTGCTGTGGATGCTACCTCTGGTCTTAATAACTCGAAATTACGTGGTGAAAATTTACGATTACAGTGAAATTATTACGAAACTAGAGAAAAATTATCATACTGATATAATATTTTCGACGCCCAGCACACTTATTACCTTTGGTGTTGCGAGTATTCATGGTTGGCACTTGCCTTTCATTCCACTACAAAACGACATTATTATTGATGCGCAAATAATAAGTGGTTGTGTTCTGCAAATATTTTCGGTACTGGGTATTTCTCAAACTACACTACAATCAGACTAGATAGCAAAAATCGTTTAAATTTTCGGTGAATTAACTGCAACATATAAGTGATCTGCTGCCATGCCTGCGATACCTTTGTTTAGTAGAGCACAACTGTATAGGCGACGGTATCGATGTCATAATTTTTTAATTAGGAATATTGCACCAGAGAATGCCTAAAAGTTAAATACGACAAGCATAAATTAGACATTGATCAGAATAGAGCAAGATAAGCCAGAGTCATTTCATTTATTTCATTTATTTATTTTCCAAAACTTAGACTATTTTTACAGGT